TGCTCACTAAGACTTACCCTTGAGTGTGTCACTTGTGGATATATAGAGTTGTAATCTGGTATGATCTGAAGCTGCCCACCAGGTGCACTGACTCTGGGGCATCCTGGGAGCTGCAAAGTCAGCCACTGCCTGGGGCCACCTGGCATGAGCTATGGAGAGTTCTGAAGAGGCTGATAGTTATATTAGGCTTGGAAGTACCAAGGCGAGCCCCAGCTGTGAAGCAAAGCAGGCTGGTGCTAGTGCCAGGCCTTGGGCCTCTTATTGATAGGTTTGTGGGGCACACTGATGCCAGCTGCTGCTTTTTTGAGAGATTTTAGGAAAGTCTGAAGCCTGAGCCAGGAGAGGCCATTCATATAGAAAAGCTGCAGCAAACAGTCTGGGTGGGGCTGAAAATTGGATGGGGTAAGGTCTCAGAGAATCACAAGGGTGGAGCAAACAGTGTGAGCCAAGCTGATGAAACTCAGATATGGCTGCCAGTCAGCTGCGAGGTCCCCATACAGGAACAATGACCCCATGAGCACCCGTGTCTGGGAGAAAGCTGCCCCCAAGTTTCTGCCCCAATGCCAGACAATCCTGTTCCTCCCTATATGTCCCTGGATCACCCAAAGCTGCCACCCTGCACTGGAGCTCAGAGTAAGCAGGATCTTGTAAGTCTGTGCACTGGCTCTTTAAGAGGCACTGCCTGGGTCTCCAGCAGCCTCTGTGCCATTCAGTCACAGTCCCCACTGGTTTTTATACCCGAAGTTAGGGGGACTTCTCTTCTCAGCTCTGGAATCCTGGGGTGAGGGTCTTGTGTGCAGCTGGGACTTCTTGCTCCTCAAAGGAGGCCTCTGCAGCTGAGATTAAAAAACACCATATGTGGGTGTCAGACCAGCCTGTTCCATGCTTCTGCCCCTCCTACCAGTCTCAATGTACTTTCTTTTTTACTTCTCTAGTTGTAGGTCTTCCATTCAGCCAGATTTCTGGCAGTTCTGAATGATGGTTTTTCTGTATTTTACTTGTAATTTTGATGTGGTGGTGGGAGGCAGTGAGTATCAGTGTTTACCTATGCCACCATTCTCTCTCCTTCACAAAATATTATCCATACTGCAAGGGTGACAAGAGTTATCTGCCAAAAATGTAAATGCAATCACATGATTAGTGTGCTTAAAACACTACCTACTTTCCCACCTATATTAAACTCAATATGAAATGCAAGACCTTTCCTGATGGGGCCCTGGGAAACTCACCAGCCTCAAGTCCTACTCTCTCCTTGCCCACCTTTGCTCCTGAAGTGCAGCATGTCTTGTCTCCATTCCATGTTCTCTCCCATCCCTCGGCCTAGAAAGGACATGTTTGCAGGCAGGTGCTTGAACAGTCTTCGTCCTGCAGACCCAGCTCGGGCCTCACTTCCTCAAGAGCCTCCTTTGATGCAGTCTATGATTGGTATCCTAATCTACATTCCAGTAGCATCTTATGTCTTTTCACAAACTTTGTGTATCTGAAACTGTTTGATTTATCACCTGTAATTACTGTTTTGTTTCTGAATTCTTGTTTTCAGCAAATTGCACATGGAGAGGGCTCTGTCTGCACTGCTCTTCCCTATGGCCCCAGCACCTCTCACAGGACCTGGCACACACGGTATATATATGGGGATATATTTGACTGTGAGTGGCCAGATTATTATGACTACCTGTCGTAGGCAAATTAGCCGTACACTGCATCATATGGGATATGGAAGCCAAAGGCCTGTTTGAACACCTTTGCTGTCTGCAGTTACCAAGATAAAACGTCTCCAATTCGCACAGGAACACAAGGATTGGACAGTCGAGCATTGGAAAAAAGTCACGTGGTGCTCATATTGTGCAGGAGTGGTTTCAAGAACATGAGGGAGACTTTACCTTGCTTAGGTGGCCGCCACAATCACCAGATCTCAATCCAATTGAGCATTTGTGGGACGAAGTTAAAAGAGCCATCAGGCAGCTGGTTCCACAACCATCAAATCTCACAGAACTGGACAGTGCTACTCATCAGGCATGGTGTTAGATTCCTCGCATCACCTTTCAACATCTCGTGGAGTCAATGCCAAGAAGAATCGCCGCAGTATTGAAGGCTAAAGGTGGCCCAACGAAGTACTGATGGAGTGATCATAATAATCTGGCCACTCGGGGTGTGTGTGTGTGTGTGTGTGTGTGTGTGTGTATGTGTGTGTGTGTGTATAATTTCCCATGTTTGAAGGCTGTTAAATCGCATTGTTTACCCATATCTTCAGAAAAAAATCACTTCTACTGTCGTGGTAAACAACCTGCTTCCCTATTTATAATGGTCTGGCCCTCTAGCAACTTCAGTGCAAAATTATAGCTAATTTGCCTACAAACGTCAGGTATTCATAATAATCTGGCCACTCAGTGTGTGTGTGTGTATAATCCTTTGTTATAAAAGGTATTATGATGCCTTCACATTCTTGAACTAAAGGGCTTGTTCAGAATACAGATGCTTTCATAGAGCCATCTAGTGTCCATTTTGTTTCGTGATGCTAAGTGAGGAAAGCATGATCTCCATGTGGCAGCAGCAATTTAATGCCTCTTGCACAACTTTTTTCCCCCCTCTGTTCTTCACCATATAAATGCTGTATTAGTCATTCCAGAATTATGGTAACTAAAAATGTGATAAGAGTTTGCTGGTTGATGTGATAAGCGCTGCTAGCTGCTCCCTTCTGAAACCCCACTAACACGACAGGAAAGAAATCAAATATGCGTAAACAGATCATGATTTTAAAAAGAAGAATGAGATAGAAGACAACAGCAAATAAGAGATGTAACCAAATTTTGCAACTTAAAAAGGAGAATGAGTGGCAATCAACATCAGCATTAGAAAAAGCAGAAAGCTAAGGAAGACTGTTGGGGGACCAGTAAGATGACCTTCAGACCATCTCAAAATTGAAGGCATAGTAAAGTTACAGCCCTTTACCAGAAGCTCCTGTGGGACGTATGCTCCGGCAGAGTATAAATCAAGAGAAAAACAAAGACATTGTGTCCAGGACATAATATCCAACAAGGGGGAAAGGCAACAGGAACTGCCAGGATGGTCAGGAAGGGAAGTCTCAGGACTCTAGCTCTGAAGTGGGGCCAGAAATCAGCTTGGACAGTCTTCCGAGAAAATGAGCAGAAGCATGCCAGATGTCTTGAGGTTTAACACTAGATGTCTTGGAACTAGGACTAGAAATTCAATGAATTTGATTGATTTTATAAAAAGTCACAAAAAGCCAGCAAAGAGTTTCCACCTCCGCCTCTTGTTGAAGGAATCTAGAGATACATGACAAAGCATGGGGTACAGGGAACAGAGAATCGTGGCTACACATTTTAGAATACGATATGCATGGATAAATCATAAATTAAAAAGTTAGGCCTGTGAATATTGTCAATATTAGATGAGAAGCTTAGGCCTTTATTTGATAAGTAATGAGGGGCCATGTCAGGTTTTAGTTCAGTAGTTACAGCTCCAGAGTTGAGCTATACCTTGGTCTCTGTTTTTAAGACTATTTTTAAAATATATTTTTATTAATTTCAGAGAGGAAGGGAGCAGGAGGGATAGAAACATCAGTGATGAGAGAAAAGTATTGATTGGTTGGTTGCCTTCTGCATACCCCCTACTGAGGATCAAGCCTGAAACCCAGGCATGTGCCCTGACCTCCTGGTTCATAGGTCTATGCTCAACCACCGAGCTGCAGCAGCCAGGCTGGTCTCCATTTTTTAATATCCCCATGGCTCAGAGAGCAACCTAATAAGGAGTTTCCTTGACCTTCTTCCGGCATTTTCTTCCTTCTGAAATGCCATGCATTGTCAGAGCTCCCCTAACCCGCTCAATCATCAGTAACTTCCTCTCAGGGTCCTTCTCCACTACCCATAGCACCAGTGGGCTTCAATGCTCCTGGGCTCTTCCTAGTGTTCCCGGAACTTGAATGCCAGGTTCTTGAGTCTCAAAGTCATAGAAGCAAGCACTGAACTACATCAATCCGTCGAGCTTACTGAAAAGAACCCGCACACAGGAGTTGAGCAGAAGAGAGTCCATCTCCCTTTAGGCCTTGTGGATGGAGCATACAGGGGACCTTGGGGGGGTGCAGGGCTTGGGGATGAGGTCAGTTGTTCCACAATCACCATCCAGCTGTAGTTGGTCCCAGAGTCATCACAAGGTGTTTTCCATGGTCCGGTCCGTGGACCACCAAAGGGCCTGTAAAATAATGCCTGCACAGCCCTACCGGTGTGCTCAGTGGCTGAGCGTCCACCTATGAGCCAGGAGGTCAGGGTTCTATTCCTGATCCGGGCGCATGCCCAGGTGGCAGGCTCGATCCCTGGCAGGGGCCTGCAGGACGCAGCCGATCAATGATTCTCTCTCATCATCGATGTTTCTATGTCTCCCTCTCCCTCTGAAATCAATAAAAATAAATTTTAAAAATAATAATGCTTGCACATTATAGTTACCATCTAATGGACAAAAAAAACCCTAATTTTCAGAACATGGTGTTGAGAAAGGATGTCATTGTACATTCGTTCCTTTAAGGATGCGGTTCGGTTAATTTCAACAACGGTGTTTTACCGAAAGCAGGGAGTCACCAGGATGAAAGCTCTGGTCTCCATGGAGTGAAGCGCTACCCGAGTCGCGTTCACCTCGCACGGGTTCCCCACGCCGAACAGTGCGAGCTCCCGGGCGAGCACGGGCTCCCGACCCCCTGGGAGGGCAGGCGGGCGCCGGCCGGCCAGGCTGGGGACACCCTGGGGGATAAGGCTGTCGGCCTGCGGAGACAGGCGGCTGGGGACGCGGCCCGGCCTCCGCGCCGGCCAGCGAACACCTGACACCTCGGCGCCACCGGCAGGACCCTTTCCTTTCCCGCACCTCGCACCGGAAGCTGCTCGCTTTACGGCAGGTTCCCGGCGAACGCCGAGGCTGCCGTAAAAGGAGGCGAAGCCGCGGGCGCGGAGGCGCCGACTTCCGGCTTCGCCACCGGCCGGGCGGGAAGTGCGCGGTCGGTTGGAGCGGCCGGGCCCCGCCCCGCGGGCCGCACTTCCGAGAGGCGTGTTCCGGGCGGGCGGACGCAGCGCCGGCGCCGGTTGAGACACCCTCCGCGTCCATGGAGGCGCCGGGGCAGGCGGAGGTCGAGCATGAGGACGGCGACAGCACCTGTGGGGACCTGTGCTGCATGGACCAAGGCCTGCGGAGGTGAGGGCGCGCCGGGCCGGCGGCGGGGCCGGGGACCGCCTCCCTCCCTCCCCGACACCCTGCTAGCTCCGGGCCGCCCGCCCCGCTCCGCCGAGGGGTCCCTGTCCCTCGGGTTGTGCCCGTCCCTGCGCTGCCCCTTCTCTGACCCTGACGCCGCGGTCTCCGCCCTGCACGGGCTCTGCCGCGGGCCCCCGGTCCCAGTCCGCCCTTTGCGGACCCGCGACGCCGGCGTTCACGTGCTTCTTGCAAGGACTGAGCTCACCCTTTGGAGGCCCGATGCCCGCTGTCATGCAGGCCAGACTCGTGCGTGGAGCCCCTGCCCCTGTCCCGGTCCCTGCCCGCCGCGCACCTCGCAGCCCACCCCCTCCCTCCCGGTTTCCCGCCGACACGGGCTCACCCGGCGGGCGGGACCGCAGGCCCCTCCGCTCCTGGTGCCTCGGCGGCCCTTCCTGTGAGCCTGGCTGCTCCTGCTAAAGCATCGTGCCTGGACCCTGGTCTGAAATTTGCCGGATGTTTTCAGAGGAGTATTTCTATTCGATAGTAGCTGTCACTTGCCGAGTGCCATCTGTGTGCATGTTACCTGTATTGTCACTGGTCCTCACCGCAGTTCTGCAAGGTGGCAGTTTTGCTTGTGACAAACCTGAGACCCGAGGGTGTAAAAAACTTTCCCAGCCTCGCAGCTGGTGAGCAACTAAGTTCAAATTCAAACCCATCTCCGTCTAAGGTCACTCTGCTTTTTCTGCTGTGCCACGTAACCTGCACAGTATTAATTTCCAGAAGCAGAGATGTTTTGGAAAATAAATGGTTGACATTAAGAACACATGTTAATAGTATAAGGTCTGGACTAAGTAATAGCTCAGTAAGTGACGGAGGCGAGGTCATGGGGACCTGTAGAGGTGGCCAGTTTGACATTTAGAAGTGCTGCCTCCTTTTGGGGGGGGGGGGCGTACAGAACATGGAGCCAGTGCCATGACCGTGCCTCCCCCCCCTCCGCACCGTGTGCGCCTTTGTCTTCCTGGGAGGGCGGTTCCAGAGGGGCCCTGGTGTATAGGGCACGACTTGAGAGAATGAGCTCCATTCAGTGGAGGTGCATTCCAAAGTCAGCAGGGAGGACGGGCACTTTTTCAATAGAAACAGCAGTGCCCGCGGTGTCTTTTGAAATGGGCTGCATCCTGCGTTAAGCAGCCGTTATGGACGGTGAGGGAAGTAGGGAACTGCAGGGCCAGGTCTGGATTAATCCCGGCTCAGTAAGGTAACAACTACAAGAACTGGGACAAGTTATTGAATTTCTGTAAATGTCAGTTTCCTTAGATCCCTACCGTTTAGTATTGTGAGAGTTGAATGAGATGAGGAAACAGGCTGTTAACTCATGGAACAGCAAAAAAAAAGTAGAGTGCAGTTTTGAGCTGGGGTGTAGGCACCCCACGGCCTTTGCACTGGTGCCTTCCCTGTGTGCTCATCACTTCATGTTGAGAAGCTAGACATGCCCAGGGTCACCTGCATCTCCTAAGTGGGTTTCTTGATTATATAAATGTCCCAAAATGCTGTTTTGTGGTAGGAATCGCTATACCTGGTGAGACATTTCAAGGCTACTACAAGTAGGAAGAATTTCATTATAGAACTAGAAGCCCGATGCACAAAATTCACGCAAGGGGCTCAGCTCTCGCAGCCCCGGCTTTGCCAGGAAGGTAGTCCAGCTGTCTGGTCTAATAGCATATTATACTTTTATTGTTTTAGATGAGTAGAGCTCACAGTTATATATACTCTGTTGGGTTAATTTTAATTATTTGGTATGATTTCAAAATCCATTTTTTTGTGTTTGATGGTACATATTTTCTTTTATAGCATATCAGAGTTATCCTTAGATTCAACCCTCCATGCCATCAATCTGCATTGTAACAACATCTCGAAGATTGAAGCCATTGACCATGTCTGGAATTTACAACATTTAGATTTGTCATCTAATCAAATCAGTCAAATCGAAGGGCTAAGCACACTGACAAAACTACGCACTTTAAATTTGTCCAGCAATTTGATCACAAAAATAGAAGGTGTGTAAGTGATTGTCATGTAATACTTTGAATAAGGAAGATGACTGAAGTCCATTTTTTTTCCTTCCCAGAAGAACGGGATAAATAGTAAACTTTTGAAAACTGACCCTAAAATTTATCATATAAAAATTTTTCTCCTAGAAAAGTTATTAGCCTTTTTCAAGTATTTTATAAAATACCAACAAAATTGATTTTACTGTTATTTAATTCGACTGTAGATTTGCTTCAAAAAGTCTGAAATAGTATTGCAGTACTATATAGCTTTAATAAATTGATTATTGAATCCTGTAAAAGCTTTATTTTATTTTATTTTATTTTAGGACTTGAAGCACTAATTAATCTGACTAGACTGAATTTATCCTATAACCACATAAATGATTTAAGTGGTAAGTAGATGTGCTTTATATATATAGAAGCCTAAGCGACTGTTACAACTGGTTGACAGGTTGCTATGACACTCAATGCTGGAGCTTCCTCCTGGTGGTCAGTGCACTCCCACAGCCAACCTCCCATGGCTGGCCAACCTCACACAGTCCCTCCCCCAGCCGGATGGCCCTGATCGGCCCCCATCAGGGCCAGCTGGTAACATCCTGCGGTCCCTACCCTCTGCCAGCCGGCCCCAATAGGCCCAATCAGGACTGGGTGATGGGCAAGATGGCCCCGATTGCCAGCCAGGCCGAGGAACCCCACCCGTGCACGAATTCATGCACGGCCTCTAGTTTTTCTATAATGCTGAATATTTGCCATGTGTGGTGAGTTAGAATGAGCTTAGCATGTCAGAAAGCTGAATAATACAATTTTTGACCAAAAATCTCATCTAGAGAATGTGTTGGTAGCAAAGCTACCTCTGAATGAAGAATTGGGATTAAAACTAGGGTGGTCTGTAACAGGACAAACTTGGATAGAAGGACCTCTTTTGGGGGAAATGGTATTTTAATCTTAGATAATTAATGAATATACTGTTCTAGAGAGGAAGAATTCCAATAGAACTTCTTACAGTGATAAAAACATTCTACGTTTGCGCTGCCTATCAAAGCACCCAGTGTGCCATGCGAGCATTTGAAATGTGCCTAGTGCACCGAGGAACTGGATTTGTCATTTTATTTACTTTCAATCAAACTTAAGTTTAAATTACAAAGCCACCTGAGGCCGTCCTACCAGATTGGACAGTATGAGTGTAAAGCATCCCGAAGGCCATTACAAATTGAAGATCAAATACATGTTTTTTCTGTTTTACTTCAGTATGTCTAAAAAGGTAAAAAATTACCTACTTTTTAACTGATTAAAGTGATACACTGATAAAGTGGAAAAAAGTTTCATAATTATTCATCAAATTATTGGATAACTATTTTCTCTATCTTCATAAACTCAATCGATATTTGAAACAGCCTTATTCATTCATTGGTTTTCTCCCCTACTAGAAAAATCCTACCCTACGCCAGGTGTTTAGCATACAAAAAAAGAAATGACCTAGTCTCCACCCTTAAGCTGAAGTAGCAGCAGTATTTTAAATTTTCCCCCCAAAGATGTGAAAGTATTAGGTTTGAGTATTGGCTGTAGGTCTGTCACTGTTGTGCGTTGTTGAGCAAAGTCTGTCACTTTTTGGATGCAGTTTCCTTATCTGAAAAATGTGAATCTTAGATAAGAGAGTAATCTGCTTATCAACAAATATTTATTAAAGAGTGCCTGTGGACAGATAGAATTCTTTTTTTATGTTTTTTATTGATTTTTAGGGAGAGAGGAAGGGAGAAGGCTAGAGAAATGGAAATATCAATTAGAGAGAGACATCCATCAGCTGCCTTGATCAAGCCCATAGTCAGGGCATGTGCCCTGACCAGGAGGAATTGAACCATGACCTCCTGGTTCATGGGTCGCCCCTCAACCACAGAGCCATACCAGCCAGGCTGGACAGATAAAGTTCTTGTAGGGAATGATTATGGAGTATCTAGAATTTACATCCGTTGCTGGTAGAATTCAAAGTAGTATAAGGATTTTGGGAAACAGTTTGAAGGTTTCTTATAAGGTTACATGTACATTGATATGCAGTCCCACTCTAGGCATTTACCAAAGAGAAATGAAAATATGTCTAATCAGAGACCTGTACATGAGTGTTTGTATGTTTATATAGCTTTTCATATAATCAGGTTTCTGTGATTATCTGTAATCTCTAAAAACTGGAAACCACTCACTTACCTGTCACCTGGTAAACAGAAATTGTGATGCAGCCACAAGATGGAATACTAAGGCCATAAAAAGGAACGAGCTATTGATACATGCTGCAGCATGGATGAATCTAAAAAAGAATTGTGCTAAGTGAAAGCATTCACAAAAGGCTACCCTGTATGAATCCAATATGTGCCATTCTAACAAAGGCAAAGTTATAGGGGCAGAAAACAGATCATCAGTCGCCAGGGCTTGAACATGGGGAGAGAAAATTGCCTACATAGGGACACACTGATTGGGGTGGTGGAAATAAATGTTCTATATCTTAGTCATGGTTAAAAAAACTATATGTTGGTCAAAGCACATGGAACTCCACACCTAAGAAGTGTGAATTTTAGTGACTGTCTGAGAGAAGAAATATGAAGAAAATGTCATAGGCAACCCTGGAAGTTCTAATAGCTAACTCTTAGAATGATGTATTTTATTCAGAAACACCTCGCTAGAGAGCAGAGCGCGGCAGTGTGTGTGCTAGAGCATGTGGCACGCTAGGGCTCAAGCGAGCGAGTTGGACCTCGGAGCAGAGGAAGGAAGTGTGGCTGGAGCACAGCAAATGGGGTTCGTGTGCAGAAGAGAGATGAGCAAGCAGGCAAAGGGTGACATTTGCATGTTGTCGTAGGTACAACGGGGGCCATGGGAGGGCTTTAAACAAGTGACATCGCGCATGTGTTAAGGATCACTTGGGCTGAATGAGGAGGATGGGTGTTAGGACGGGAGTGGGAGTCAGTGGGAAGCTGCTCCAGGTGTCCAGAGGAGAGGGTGAGACCTGGACTGGGTGGAGACGGGAGATGGCTAAATGCGTTTTACACGTGGAGGTCATAGGCCTTGCTGATGGGTGCGATGAGGGCATGGAGGAGAAAGAAATCCCAGATGATGAACACGAATTTTCCCTGAAGTAACAGGCAGATGATGGTATTGCTTCCTGATGTGTGATGATTGGGGAGGAGCAGGTTTGAGATGGGGTGAGACGTGAGTGTGTGTGTGTGCGCGCGCACATGCACATATGTGAGTAATTGGGTTAGAGCTGAGATCTGGCACATTGGTGGTGTTTGTAATCATGACACTGCGGAAGGTCCTGGAGAGCCTGTGGATGGAGGAGGGACACTAGGGGACAGCCAGTGACGAGTGTGTGTGTGTGTGTGTGTGTGTACGTGTGTGTACATCGATGGTGTTGTAGCTATGACACTGCAGGAGTGCAGGAGGTCCTGGAGAACCTGTGGATGGAGGAGGGACACTAGGGGACAGCCAGTGACGAGTGTGTGTGTGTTAGTGTAATCAGTTGGAGCTGAGATGTGACACGTCGATGGTGTTGCAGCCATGACACTGCAGGAGTGCGGGAAGTCCTGGAGAGCCTGTGGATGGAAGAGGGACACTAGGGACAGCCAGGAATGTGGAGCAGGACCTTACAGTGCAGCTGCATCTCAGAATGGCCCTTCCAAGAGAAGGGAGGCTGGGGCATGGTCCACTGACAAGCTCCCTTCTCCAGGGCTGAGGGAGCCCTGCAGGCACACTTTCAGGCTGCACCTTTGCTCAGCAAGCTCTACTTGGAAGCAGGTTCTGAGGCAGGGAAGAGAAATGGCCAGTTGCACCCTGTGTCATAGCACCATAATTTACAGTAGCCAAGATCTGGAAGCGGCCCAGGTTTCCATCAGAGGAGTGGATACAAAAGCTGTGGTACATTTACACCATGGAATACTATGCGGCAATAAAAAAGGATCTCTTACCTTTTGGGACAGTATGAATGGACCTGGAGAGCATTATGCCTGTCAGAGAAAGACAAGTACCATATGTGGAATCTAATGAACAAAATGAACAAATGAGCAAAATAGTAAAACAGCCAGCACTCTAGGGGTACCTGAGTAGGGCACATGAGGCTGTCAGGGTGGGGTTCCTGGCTTACCACACCCCAGATAAGCTGGGGCTATAGGTATTACCAGGGACTAAATCAAATGCTATTTGTATTTTATGCTCAAACCAACAATGGAAGCTTATTCAGTGTTTGCTTATCAGGAAGGAGCCTGGAGCCTTGCTTGTTCTGTAAGTTCCTGCATGGCCTAGGAGGCCTGAGAGTTTTGTTTGAATGGAACTCATACCAGGGGCCTCTGTTCTCAAAACAAGAGGACTTGACTGACCCTCTCCACGAGGTGCAGCTTCGCAGCGAGGCCTCGCTCGCCCTTTGCCTTCGCCTGGAAGTAGAACCACATCAAGTGTTCCATGAGCTGTTGGGGAAATGGCTGCTGTGGCATCAGCAGGGTTTTTTCATCTTGCAGGTTTGATGCCCCTTCATGGAATCAAACATAAGCTTAGATACATCGACCTGCACAGCAACTGCATAGACAGCATCCACCACCTGCTCCAGTGCATGGTGGGCTTGCACTTCCTGACGAACCTGGTTTTGGAGAAGAATGGCGAGGATAACCCTGTCTGTCGGGTGCCGGGTAGGACCCTCCAATTCACTGCACTTTGTAACGGTGTTCACAGCAGCTGGTGCTTAGAACTTGCTTTTATTTGTCTTAAGCTTTTCAGCATTTTATTACGTATTTGGAAAAACATAATTGCAAAATAAAATATTTTTTTAGACAAACTAAGTTGCTATTAAAAGAATAACACAGTGAATAAATTAGTGACTCCGTTAAACAGTTTTAAATTTGACTAGAGGCCTGGTGCACGAAATTCGTGCGGGGGGTGGAGGGTGGTCCCTTAGCCCGGCCTGCACCCTCTTGCAATCTGGGACCGCTGGTTCCTGACTGTTGGCCGGCCTGCCTGATTGCCCCTAACCACTCGCCTGCCTGCCTGATTGTCCCAACCACTCTACTTGCCTGCTTGATCGCCCCTAACTACTCGCCTGCCTGCCTGATTGCCCCAACCACTCTACTTGCCTGCCTGATCGCCCCTAACCACTCGCCTGCCTGCCTAATTGCCCCTAACCATTCTGCCTGCCTGCCTGATCGCCCCTAACCACTCGCCTGCCTGCCTGATTGCCCCTAACTGCTCACCTGCTTGATTGCCCCTAACTGCCTCTGCCTCGGCCCCTGCCACCGCGGCTTTGTCTGGAAGGACATCTGGAAGGTCATTAAACTCTCCTATCTAATTAGCATATTACGCTTTTATTATTATAGATAAGTGAGTGCCTCAGAATTAAATTATCATTGTGAGATATAAGAGTGTAACCCTAGGAAGTTGTAGGTACCTCTGGTAGCTGACAAATTCAGTTGAATCTCCAAGTAATTAACTTCTTTAATGCATGAGTTTTCATTTTGAATATGTCTCCAGGGTACCAAGCAATTATGCTGCAGACCCTGCCACAGCTTCGAATCCTGGACTGCAAGAACATATTTGGTGAGCCGGTAGACCTGTCACAGATAAATTCCTCAAGTCTGCAGTGCTTCGAAGGTCTTTTGGATAATTTGGTTTCATCTGATTCTCCCCTAAATATCAGTGAAGATGAGGTATGGTATTGGGTTTTCCCTAATACAAAGATGCCTTCAGCTTGTCCTTCGTCAGTGCACATGTTGAGGGTCTGGTGGTATCTGTCCTAGATCGCTGACGGCCTGCCGGTGGTGACGGCCCCCACGGGTGATGACATGGCCCCCCTGGACCCGTTTGCAAGTCCTCCAGCTGACACGGGGCTGCCGTCTTTTATGTCCGTGTGCCCGCCTTCTGAGCCAGAGAAGGATAATCATGATAGCGATTTTCAGAATGAGATGAAACTTCAGAAATTAGATGATCAGTTTTTACAGCTTCTCAATGAAGTAACTATTTTTCCTATTTTACTAAGTCCTGTGTTTGTTGAAGAAATAGTTCAAAAAATGTAAAGTGAAAATTGGTTCAAGCGGACATCAGAAACACTGTACTGCATTTGTGTACGTGTCTGTGTGTGTGTCTGTCAGTTCTTGTCTTTTCCAGAGGTGGGATTGTTACAGTCCCCGGGGCAGGAACAGCGATGTACTTTCCCCTCATTTCCTCGTCCTCCTCTAGACCTTCTAATGTGAGTTCTGTTGTGCTTCCCCTATTTCCACCTGCTCCCCTATTACTTCAAACTCTCTCTGCACCTGCCTGTGAACAGGGGGGATTGGGAGTTACTTTTGACCTCTTCTGTCATCTCTTCAGTTGTTTAATGGTCAAAACCACTTCTGGAACCCACAGCTGAATCCAAATTAATTCATAGATTTCCTCCTTCGACTCTTTACAGTAGACCTTCCCCAAATGAATCTCTACTTCTCTGAGTTACTCATTCGACTTTGCCCCTTACACTGCTGTTTAGGGTGAGCTACAGTCCTGGACTCGCTGCTGTCAGGGTCCCAGCCTCCCCCGAAAGGCGAGGCTGTTAGTCAAATGTCAGTTTGACCTCAAAATTTGTAATTTTAATACTTAATTATTTTCTGAAACTGGAGTGGGGGTGGGAAGCAGACAACGCTTATGGAATGTTTTTGGTTCGGTGGGTTTTTAATAATCCTGAAGTATTGTCGTAGCTGTGGTACCAGCAATGCCAGATAAACACGGCCCCCGCTGGTGAGGGGGGGAGAGAGTGAGTGAGGCTGCCAGGATTCCTCATGCCGAAGCGCAGATTGGGTTCCTTTGGGGCTGCAGAGGAGGTGGTGAGAGGGCTGGGCTGCAGCGCTGGCCTGGCGTGCTTTGCTGTTGTTGACATACTTCTGGGCCTCCGTCTCCTCAGGTTTCCTGCCCATCTTTTCTCATGGCCGACTCTTCGACCAGCGTCAGAACTTAGATTTCAGCTGAACTTAAACATGAAGCGCATTTGGCAGCTTCTCTTGCACTCACACATCTTTCTCATGATGGCCCGGTCCAGTAGGTAGGGTCACGCTCACTGTCCTGTTCCCTAGAGCGGAAACCGGGAGACCTGAGCGTCCTCTGTAGGGGGGCCGTTGAGCCTCGTGCCTGATGACCTGGAAATCAGTGTGGGCACGACTGTCCCTGCTTTGTTTTCACTGCTCTGTCGTGGTCCCCTGTACGATGTACCAGCGTTTATTTGTCATTGTCCTCCTGAGGTTCCGCCAGATTAGCTCCACGTCTGTGGCCGTTGCTGATAAGTCTGTGTGTGAACTTAGGTCTTCCCTTCCCGTCCGTGAACAGCTGGAAGCGGACTGTCTGGAGTGGGGCTGGGTGTGTGCTCAGTTACACGGGCACTGCCAGAGCCTCTGGGTGCCAGTGCACACAGTCCCGCCAGCAGTGCCCAAGGGGCTGTGCCGCTGTCTCCGCCCAGTCCTGACCGCCACCCCCCTCAGTTCCCCTTGGCCCCGCACTGTGCTGTTAGCACTGACCTCATTGCAGCCACTCTGCTGGCTGTGTTCTGGTGTGCACTGTGCTTGAATTTGCATGTCACTAATGGTCGGCAGAGCTGAGCACTTTCCATGGGCTTGAGTAGTCATAAATCTTTTGTGAAGTGTCTGTTCAAACTTTTTGCCCATATTTTATTGAGTTGCTAGTTTATTACTGGGTTATAAGAATTCCTTCGAGTCTCCCTGTGATGGGGCAGTGCAGCTCCAGCCCACGCTGTCTCTGTTTGGGAAGGGAGAGAAAGCAGTAGCTGGCATCCCCGCAGCCTCTCCAGGTGAGCGTGCTGGAGAGGCAGGAAGGGCTCCATGTGGCCAGCCACACACACACACACAAGAATTCATTCTATGTCCTGAATTCTAATGTCAGATATTGGTCATGTATTTGTCAAATATTTGTGGGTATTTTCTCACAAATTGTATCATTTTTTCTTTGATGGTTATTGCATTCGGTGCATTTTAAAATTCTTGGGTATCCCCAAGTCACCCAAGTCATGATGACATTGTCCTGTGTTACTCTCCAAAAAGCTGAGGTCTGTGCGTGTGGGAAGCAGTCGGAGTCCATGCCTCTCTGTAGGTGGGCAGTTTTCCCAGCACCACTTGTGGGAAAGGCTGTTCTTTCCTCCCTTGGGTGGTGGTGATGCACCGAAGGGTCACAGGTTTAATTTCTAGGCAAGAGCATGTACCTGGGTCGCAGATTCCATACTGCCCTGGCCGGGCACGTACAGGAGGCAGCCAATTGATGTATCTCCCTCACATCATGTTTCTCTCTCTCCCTCTCCCTCCTCCCTTCCACACTCTCTAAAAATCAGTGGAAAAAATATCTTCGGTGAGGATTAACCAAGCAAAAATAAATACATAAAATAAAAAATTATATGACCTTATAAATTATAGAATCTATTTCTGGTCCCTTTTTTCTGTTTCTTTGTTCTATTGTTTTTTATCTTATGCCAAAACCACACCGTCTTGATTTTTGTTTCGTAGTAATTTTATAAGTCTGGTAATGTAAGTCTTACAATTCTTTCTTTTTATTCCCCAAAATTATGTTGGGTATTCTACGTTCCTTGCATTTCTTTAAGCTTCAGAATCAGCTTGTCTGTTTCTGAAAAATTTATATCTTGATATTGAGTCGTAAATTTGTGAACTTATCTGTTATTTAGGTCTGTTTCATTGTTCTCAGCAGTAGTTTTCAACATACAAGTTTTACACATGTGTATAAAATTTTGTATTAAATTTTGTTTTATAATTGTTTGTAAACTGAACAACTTTTGTAGTTTTGTGTCCCACTTGATTGCTGCTTGTACGTAAAAGTGTGGTTGATTTTTGTGTACATGACTTGTGTCCTGTCACCTTGCTGAATGTATTAGTCTAGTCCTTGTTCTATGCCTTGCTGATGATTTTCTACATAAACAATCATCCACAGACTTCTTCCTTCTTCCCTGATCTCTGTGCTGCTCCTTTTGCTTTATTGCAACGGCTGAGGTCTCCAGTGCAGTGCTGAACGAAATGGTGAGGTGGGCGCCTCCTGGCCCAGAGTGCTCTCTATGTGACCATGAAGTGTGATGCTAGTGTTACGTTGTTCATAAATGTCCTGTATCAAATCCTTTACTTCTGTTCTGCATTTTCTGATGGTGCTGAATTTTTTTTCATCAAATGTTTTTGCATCTATTGAAATAATCTTGATTTTTTTACTCTTTATTAAGCGTGCCGGGAGCACTATCGCGCTCCTCCTGCAGTGTCACTATTAGATGCTAGTAGTTCACTCTTTATTGACAGATGGCGCCTAAGTGCAGGTTACTTATGATGCCGAATGTTTGTAGTTCTAAAATTGACCACTGGCATTTATCTGCCTAATTTTTTATAGGTACTACAATTTTATGAGGTTTTTTTTCCTAAACTGCTGTAAAATCAGCAAAAATGCCTTGGCAATTTTAGCATAGTTCCTAGGATATTGGTTGTCACTCAAAGGGTTAATATAATAGGATGAACTACATTGATTAATTTTCAGATGATAAACATTGCATTCTTGATATACTAGTATGCCTCATTTAATCACGATATATTATCTCTTGTATATATTCCTGGATTCAGTTTGCTGGTACTTTATAAGGGTTTTGATGTCTTTGCTCATGAGGGATATTGGTTTATACTTGCATGGTAGGGTCTTTGGTTTTCATGTTTGGGGCAAGCTGCCTAGTAAATGAGGTGAGAACTGTTCCTCCTGCTCTGTGTTCTAAGTGTTTGTAAGACTGGAATTATTTCTCCCCTAAATGTTCAATAGGGTTCACCAGTGAAATCACCTGGGCTTGGGAGGTTCTTAATGATGAATTCAATGTTTACATAATTCAAAGGCCACTCTTTGTTTTGTCTTGTTCAGTTTAGCTTGGCTTTTTGTTGATTTCTACAGAAATCAACTTTGTTCATTTTATCTACTTTTTCCCACAATATCAACTTCTCCATTTTATTTTTTCTTTTACTTACTTTTAATTTACTCTTCTTTTTCTAGCTTCTTAATGTAAATGCTTATTAGGTTATTGATTTTGGACATGTTTTAACCTAATCATTCAAAGCAGTAAATATTCCTTTAAAGACTGCATTAGCCACATTCGACAAGTGTCTCATTTACTTCTGTTTTTTCAGAGAGCCCATTCCGGGCCATTTCCACGAGGGTTCCCTGGCCAGCACGCCTGTCTCAGTGGCTGTCATCTGGGCCTCCCGCAGGGTGTGTGTCTGCAGCTGTGGCCTCAGGCTGGGAGCTGCACGGCACCTCGGGATTCCTGGCTTCCTCACGGTTTGCAATTCTGTCGGTTGCATGCAAGATGTTAAACGTCCAACTCTGACTTGGATTTGCCAGTTTCCCTTAACTTTCTTAATATTTACTCTTGGTTTTCAGCACTTTGGCTGCATTGTGCTTAAGGGTGGGTTTCTTCATGTCTGTCCTGCTGATGGTTTGTTTCTCTGAGCATTTTAAACCCCGTGTATGGGAACTTGCGGGCATTATTTCTTCAACTCTTTTTCTGTCCCATTCTCTCTCCTCTCTATTCAGAGTCTACATCAGCCATGGGCAAACTACGGCCCGCGGGCCGGATCCAGCCAGTTTGAAATGAATAAAACTAAAAAAAAAAAAGACTGTACCCTTTTATGTATGATGTTTACTTTGAATTTATATGAGTTCACACAAACACTCCATCCATGCTTTTGTTCCGGCCCTCCGGTCCAGTTTAAGAACCCATTGTGGCCCTCGAGTCAAAAGTTTGCCCACCCCTGGTCTACATGCTCTTTGCCGTTGTCCCACAGGTTTCTGAGACTGGACATCTTACTAACTTTCTCCTCGGTATTCTTCACACTGAATAATGTCCACTGTGCCATCTTCAGGGTCACTGATTCTTTCTTTTGTCACCTCATTCTTCTGTGAAGCTCAGCCAGGGAATTTTTACTTCAGACGTTGTACTTTTCCGATGTGAAATTTCCTCTTTTTAAAAATAATTTCTGTTTCTCTGCTGAGCTTTTTTCTCTCTATTCATGACAAGGATACTTTTCAGGCCACTGAGCACAATCGGGTCCCCCTCCACTGCCTGTCTGTTCTCCTGGGAGTAGTGAGGCTGGCTGCTCCTGGGCTGGGTGTTGCTGGGTCATTCTGGATATTGTGATGTTACGCTGTGGAGAGTCCATGTCCCTAGCAGCCTCCAGGGTCCCTGTTTTTGACTTGAACTGTATCACTTTGTCTCTTGGGCTGCTTACTGTTGTCCTTCACTTGCCATCTCTACGCTGTCCTCTGATTGTATAGACCCCAAAGCCTGATGTTTTTACCTGAGTTTTGGACTTCCACACAGCACTTGCTGGGCTGCATCCTCACCCCTGCACAGCGCTCACTGGGCTACATTCTCACCCCTGCACAGCGTTCAGTGGGATACATCCTCACCCCTGCACAGCGCTCGCTAGGCTACATCCTCACCCCTGCACAGCGTTCAGTGGGATACATCCTCACCCCTGCACAGCGCTCGCTGGGCTACATCCTTACCCCTGCACAGCGCTCGCTGGGCTACATCCTCACCCCTGCACAGCGCTCACTAGTATACGTCCTCACCCCTGCACAGCGCTCGCTGGGATACATCCTCACCCCTGCACAGCGCTCGCTGGGCTACATCCTCACCCCTGCACAGCGCTCGCTGGGCTACATCCTCACCCCTGCACAGCGCTCACTGGGCTACATCCTCACCCCTGCACAGCGCTCACTGGGATACATCCTCACCCCTGCACAGCACTCACTGGCCATATCCTCAGGCTAAAACCACAGAGACGGAAGCACCCCGTCTAGTTATTTTCCCATGTGTCAATTACTCTAGAATAAGCTTGTATTTGTTCATTTCTCAGGGCCTACAAGTAGATTTTGTTTGTTGTTTTGTTTTTATTTTTCCCAGAGTTTATAATTGTTACCTGAGAGAGTCCACCCATAGGAGCTTACTTGTCCACACCAGAAGCTGATTCCCCATGTTTAATTCCAAGCTTTCTGACTTTACAGACCCTTGACCTTGTAAGAGCCCATCATAGTGTAGGAGATTTCAAATTTTAGTCTTGTATACCAAATCAAACTTTGTTGGTTTTTTATTCTAGACTTCTAGCTCTTTAATAGATAATGTTCCCGAGAAAGACCTGATACTGAAAAGAGACATGGATATAACTTCTGAAAGTGACTATGGCAACAGAAAAGAATGCAATAGAAAAGTTCCTCGAAGATCGAAAATCCCATACTATTCCAAAACAATTCAGACTATTAAGCACTACAACAAAAACAGCAACACTTCCATAAGGTACTTATTTCTGATTTAGAAATTCAGACAAGGCCCACACAAGTTACTACTGCACTTCCTCCTCAAGCTCTCTACTTGCCTAACCGCAGGCTCTCAGCCTTGCCACTCAGACTTGCTCTGTGCATCCGTGTACGTTTATACAGAACCATCCCTTTCTCTGGGATAGAGTGTCCTTCACTTGTGGAAAATATAAACACTGCACATTCTCTGGGTTATTTTCTGTTTCGTTCTTTGCAGTTACAGTCGTAAAATGAAACAGCCTTTCTTTAAAGACTTATACTTATGTTCCTCTCTGGCAAACTGTAGCCAACTGGAGGAGGTTGAGGAGCCGAGGACTGAGCTGATGCAAGTGAACATCAGTTTCCCAGAGGACACCTACCGGGTAGGGAAAAAGACTCAAGAGAAATGCATGCAAGTGATCTTGGGTTTAAGTTTAAATACAGGTAGTCCCAGAAAAATAGTGCTGGGATACATCCTCACTCCTGCACAGTGCTAATACTTTATTAGCAAAAAGTATTGTGTGTGTTTTTATTGGAGTGATGGAAATTATTTTTCCTTCCTGGTTTCCAGATGTGTGATGTTGTTATTTGTGTAATTTTTGAAGAGATGGCAATTACACACTTACTTAAATCAGATTCCAGTGAGACCCTGTGTTAAGTTTCCTGTGGAGAAGACGGCCTGTCTAAATGTTCACGTTCTTATTCCCGGCAGTGCTTCCTAACTTCTGGCTCTCAGACACCCACGTGTCTAAGGAAGTCTGGGGCTTCGCAGGGAAGTCTGCCCTTAGACGCACCACAGGCGTGCTAATTCAGGGTGTTTAGGACTCTCCCGAAACCCAATTAGGGGTCCATGGATTCCAGATTAAGAGGCATTTAAAAATTTTTAAATTCTTCAATATTTGCAGGAATCATTCTCATGTTGTTAAGAATTTTTGGTAGACTGATTTATTTATAGCTTTATTAACTTGCCCTTATTTTACTTGTGAAGTTCTGGTTTTGATTGTGATGTCGCTGTTCTTCCAATAATATAATTACTTCTTAAACTGTTTCACACCTTTTGTGCTATTGGTTTCCTCCTCTTCAAGTACAGAAGCTTGAAATATAATTGAGGAAAATAATAGTCATTGTCATGACAGTGATGGTAGCTAACCTTTTCTGAGTGGTCATTATGTGCCTGGCACGGTGTGTACGCTTCACTTCCGTTAATTTGTTTAACCTTCCCCACAGCCTCTGAATGAGGTGCTGCTATTTCCATATTATAAATGAGAAAATTGAGGCAAGATAATTTTTCCAAGTTCACACAACACTATTATTTTCTTTCAGATACTTGTTGAGCAGCTAGACCAGGAGAGAGAGAAGAGGTGGAAAGCTGAACAAGCTGAAAAGAAGCTCATGGATTATATCGATGAGCTGCATAAACATGCAAACGAAAAGAAGGACATCCACAGCCTGGCTCTGCTCACCACAGATAGGTAAGGGCGCGGCCCAGCCTGGAGCATGACCTCGCAGCGGGAACCCTCCATTTCAGCCGGCTGAAGTGAGATCAGAGCCGTGTTGTGGCTAAAGCATTAGTGCTTCAGCAGCTTGTTCGGAACAAAGAATGCAGGCCCCGTTTGTTTGGGCTCAGCCAGAGGGGTCAGGTGGATGGATATACCTGCCGAGTGAGGACCAGCAAGCGCTCCTGGAAGGCACAGGCTGCACCCCTCTGTCCTGCTGGCCAGGAGGGCCACACCCCGCACAGTGCCTGAAACCAATGGCTCAGCAGAGCTTGCTGGCGAAGGAAGTTCACATACGGTGACGTTTCATTCATCCAGGAAGTGTGTTGTGCCTTGTGGCACAGTGTTAGCTTCAGGGGTGGGAGAGGGGCAGGGACTCTGATTTTCAGCCTTTTTTTTAATCTAGTGAGAGTTTGAAACATACTGCATTCTTCCTCTCCACTGTGACCTTTGATGTTGACTACAGTTTTTCTCTTTAAATGAGTAATATATGCATCTGATTTCTGTTTTAGGTTAAAGGAGATTATTTTTAAAGAGAGAAATTCCAAAGTGCAACTCGAAGTTATGGTTCACAAACTTCAAAATGAAATTAAAAAACTGACCATTGAGTTAATTAAAGCAAGAGACCAGCAAGAGGATCACATCCGACACCTGAGAGCCCTGGAGAGAGCGTTAGAGAAGATGGAGCGGCAGAAAGGGCAGCAGCAGACGGCACAGGTATTGCTGTCCCGTCGGCAGCCCGGCTCCGGCGGAAGCGGCTCTGGTTGTCCGGTGGACTGGAGGCGAGTGAGCTGTGGAGTCACTGAAGGAAGGCTCCTGCACTCACAAGGCCATCAGAAGACTTGGTGGACATGTTGCAGGTTGCTAGGCTGTGTTCCCAGAGCCAGGACGTAAAGGCTCTTTGGGGCAGCTGAAGGGTTTTTGTTTTTTTTAATGAATTTATTGGGGTGACATTGATGAATAACATTCTATAGGTTCCAGGTGTTCAGTTCTATAATACATCATCTGTATATTTTTCTCTTAATCCCTTCGTCCATTTCACTCAGGCCTGCACCCCCCTCCCCTCCGACAGCCGCGCCAGTCTGTTCTCTGTCTCTGTGTATCTGTTTCTCTTTTGATCTCAAGGTCCCTCACTTCACACTTTCTGATCTGGATGAGATGAGCAGCAGACAAAGCGAGTGTCGCTGCTGCCAGGGCTGTCCCTGATGTGACCACAGCATCATCACCTAGGACAGTGGTCGGCAAACTGTCCGACCCACTTCTGCGCCTGGGCCATGAAGTTTCAATTGCACTGTACTTGCGCGCCCGCACGTGGTATTTTGTGGAAGAGCCACACTCAAGGGGCCAAAGAGCCGCATGTGGCTCTCAAGCCCCAGTTTGCCAACCACTGACCTAGGACATTTTGAAAGTCAGTTTGGGCACTAGGTTCTGTTATTTAGAAGGCACTTTTCCTGGGGAACTGACAATGGAAGCAGGGAGTTATGGTCTTAAGTACTAAAATTGTGTGTTTTTCCCAGATGCGGCTTATCGAAGAGGTAGAGCTCAAGGCGGCGGCTGCCGACCGAGAAATTAACTTACTTCGAACTTCCCTTCAGCAAGAAAAGGAGCAGGTGCAGCAGCTTCACGAGCTTCTTGCACTGAAGGAGCAAGAGCACAGGTAAACGCCGCTGGTGTGGCTCAGTGGTTGAGCTTCGACCTATGAACCAGGAGGTCACAGTTCAATTCTCAGTCAGGGCACGTGCCTGGTTGCGGGCTCGATCCCCAGTGTGTACAGGAGGCAGCTGATCAATGATTCTTTTTCATCATTACTGTTTCTATCACTCCCTTTCTGAAATCAATAAAAATATATTTTTTTAAAAAAGAGCACAGGTAAATGAAAGCGCACCAGGCAGTGGGGACAGTCAAGCAAAGGAAAGAAGCTGCTTGGTTCTTCCTCCTCCTCCCTAACCCCCTCCCATCTCCCTCCACAAACAGGAGCCAGGACTGAGCAGTGGGAGGCTAGTTGCAGAGCACATGGGAGGGGCTGCTTGTGTATGTGGTAGGGTCCCCTCCTAGTGCAGTGGCAGCTCACAGACACAGGTGACTTACTGAGGTGTGGGCACTTACCTGGAAACTTCCTGCATTTCTGCAGATCCAACCTAAAGTTGGTCATTGGCATGTGCAAAAAACTGTTTTATTGGCTCTCCAAGTGACACCGTGCTCAGTGCTTCTTTACTCCTGTGGAGCAGCTGCTAATAAACGTTTCCTCCCAAGGGCCAGATAGAAAGGGTCCCAGCCCATCTGGTGGTGCTCAGTGGTTAAGCGTTGACCCAGGAACAATTCCTGGTCAGGGCGCATGCCCAGATTATAGGCTCCATTCCCGGTGGGGGGCCTGCAGGAGGCAGTCGATGTTTCTCATCTGTTTCCATCTCTCTATCCTGTTCTCTTCCTCTCTCTTTAAAAAATCAAAAACATACCAATAAAAAAAGAAAGAAAGGGTTCCAGGCTTCGCAGGCCACAGCTAACTGCCTTCCCTGCAGACAGGACTTAAGCCAGTGGGCGTGGCCTTGTTCCCGTAAAACCTTGTTTACAGAAGAGGGTGGCAGGCCAGTGGAGCCCTGGGCCTCAGTGCAGCGCCCTGCTCTGAGTCCCCAGCCATGGGAACACTTTCGGCTGCTTGTCTCCAGCTGCCCCCACCCAATTCTGTGATGTCATGTAGAAATTAAATACTGATGCTTGGGGGGATATTGGCATCCTATGTATGGGTAGAACAGGTATAAAAGATTGAGGGAAAACAAAAACAATGTATAAATTTGTACTTAGTTTCCTTTACAGATCTTTTTTTTAGCATCTTGTTCTAGTTTAAAGAAACCCAGACTGGAAATAGTGGATTTTGTATTAATGGCTTGGTTTATTCAAGAAAAAATTGTGGTGAACTCAAAGGAATGAGCTCACATTTAAAGAAAAAACTGGCCTTATATCAAAAAAGATTGGTGAATAATTTCACAGTTTAACTGATTTTTTTTCCTTAATCAACCACTAGTACCAGTCAGGCTACGTTTATTGTATGTCAAAGACTCAGAGCCGAAGGCACACGGAGGGAGAGCTGCAGGTGCGGCTAGGAGCCCTGGCGCCGTCCACTGGGCCTGAATGTCTTGGGAACTTACCCCAGGGCCATGCCTCTGATCCCACCCGCTGAGCACAGTCAAGGAAAACTCATTCCTTCTCTGTCCTGGCAGTTTCTGTGTTTGAAGGTAGGGAGCTCATCTTAGAGGACAGTTAGGGACTATATAATATTTAATAAACTTTAAGGTTTTTCTTTCCAAGGGAACAGCATTCTGTGATGGTTGTGTTTTTCATTCCAGGAAAGAACTTGAAACAAGGGCATTTTTCAGTGATTCTGAGTTCCAGGAAGCCATAGCCAAGGAAGTGGCAAAAGAAGAGGCAAAGCATGAGCAAGAGATCAAAGGATACCAAGAAAAAATTGACACATTAAATCATCAGTACCTGGATTTGGAGAATGAATTTCGTATTGCTTTAACTCTCGAAGCCAGAAGATTTAAAGATGTAAGAATCGGCATTTAGGTTCTTATTGAAAACAGAACCAGCAGATATGGGGTGATAAGAGGACCCCACTTTAGAGTTGTAGGTCTGTGGACATGTTGGCTGTATGGCCTTAAGCAGATCACTTAAATTCCTGGAGTCCCAGCATCTGCACTGAGATCACCACTACTCTCCCTGCTGTTCCCAAAGCCCAGTCAGACTGTGGTGGTCAGGCGCGGAGCACGGGAACCTGGCTTCTCCCCTGTGGCTCTAGGGCGGGGATTGTAGCCAGACCCCGGCCGCGGCCTCTGCCTCGTGCTGAGCACAGCCGTGCTCCGGGTGGCACACAGCAGCACTGAGTGCTATCATTACTTTATTTTGCTAAACCTCTGAGATTCTAAACATGAAAGAATTGCCCTAGCCGGTTTGGCTCAATGGGTAGAGTGTTGGCCTGCAAACGGAAGGGTCCAGGGTTCAATTCCGTTCAAGGGCACATGACCAGGTTCCAGGCTCGATCCCCAGTAGGGGGTATGCAGAAGGCAGCCAATCAATGATTCTCATCATTGATGTTTCTATCTCTTTTTCCCTCTCCCTTCCTCTTTGAAATCAATAAAAAACATATATATATTAAAATAAACATGAAAGAAGTTGTTTCCAGAAACAAATATTTTCTAAATATTTGGAGAACTGCTATTTATAATGCAATTTTGAAATATAGGTTAAAGATGGTTTTGAAAGTGTTGCAACTGAGTTAGCAAAGAGCAAGAATGCTCTTGTCTGGGCTCAACGGAAAGAAAACGAGTCTTCCTCTTTAATTAAAGATCTGGCCTGCATGGTGAAGGAGCAAAAGACAAAGCTTGCGGAAGTCTCCAAACTGAAACACGAAACAGCAACAAACTTGCAGGTAAGACATTGTGATGCTGTATTCTCCTTCTGTTTGCTATGTCATTTCCCAAATGCCTGCAGTGATTTAGGAAGTGCACAATGTTGAACTTTTAAATAATACTAATTATGTACTTGACATGTTTGAAAAGTAATAGAACTGGGAGGTTAGCTAATTTACCAGAGTGCACTACATACGCCAAGATAGTGTTTAAGCATAATAAGTGAATTAACTAGGAAACTGAGTAGCTAGTATACCATTGCACAGCGAGAGAAGAAGTTGTGACGGTGATGCTCAGATTGCTGAGTTTTGGGAAATAGCATGCGGGCTGCTGGTGTTAACTTTTGTAGCAGTGGTTTTTTAGACATACCCACACATAATCTAAATTATTGTCTGTTGTCGCCATTTTAAACATTAGGGATATTTTGCCAAGAGAACTTCCTTTCTGCAAGTGACCTCTAGGCCAGCAGTTGCCAAGCGGTGGTCTGAGGACCACTGGTGGTCCATGAGGTCCGAAAGGTTGGCGACCACTGCTCTAGGTGACTCATATAAATGCTGAGAAACTTAGAATATTACAGGTGTGGTTGCTCTTAGGGTGTTAGAATAAAATTCAGAGTGTTTGAGGAATGGCCTCTTAAACTTTGACTTCATTTTCTGACCTATATGTATTTTTAGTTAATAAAACTAAAACTTATTCTGATGTAAAATTGAGGAACATTTACTTGGTATTTGCTTAAATAACATTTTTCTTAAGATAAAATGCAAGAAAGTAGGAATAGGAGCATTGTGTAACAGCTGCTTTGCGTTTTCCCACGTCTGGGGAGTATACAGAATCAGATCAACACCCTTGAGCTCCTGATCGAAGATGACAAGCAGAAGAGCATCCAGATCGAGCTGCTCAAGCACGAGAAAGTCCAGCTGATTGCCGAGCTCGCAGCCAAGGAGTCACTCATTTACGGTCTCAGGACAGAGAGAAAAGTGTGGGGACAGGAGCTGGCACAACAGGGTAACATTCTCTAATGTCAAAGGGAAACTAGCCCATTTTGCTAAAGGAGCAGATCTGTATAGAGGAGAGAACAAGGAAGGGCTTTCCTGCCCCACGACCCAGGGTCAGGGCCACCTCCCAGAAAAAGGAAGTGGCTTATTGTACCAGGCGCCGCTCTGAGTCCTGGTTGGCTTTCCTCCTGGTGGTTACTTTTATAACGGGTTACTTTTCTCACCAGGTCTACCTTTCCCGTGCTAGTGCTGAATTAAGTTGTTGAAAACATTTCTTTCTCATACAGTAATTTTACATGGTTTCATACGGATGCCGCATTCAGTTCTTTTCTAAACATGTTGCTAACAGTTAGCTTGTTACACATGGAGAAATGCTAAATGGCGTGTGGATGAAAACCACCATCGGCTTAGGTTAACCTACCTCAGTCCATTCCGCTCGAAATCTGCCCAGCGGAGGTGGCTGTGTAGGGCACCACCTTCGCTCCATGGTGCTGGCTGTAACGGAGCGTGGCTCACCTGTCATTCTACATGGGATATCGCGCGTGGTCTGGCCGTGGGTGTGCATTATCCTGACCAGTTAGATAGGACCGCCTGTCACTCCTTGTCCGATTGTGGCTCAGGGTTTCACACAGCACAGGGCTGATGTGCCTTTTGTTTCTGGCCCTTTCCTCCTCATACTGTGTGCTCTTGCAGATCTCGTTTCTGTAGCCAGCTTTCCTTTGTACTCATCTGTTACACGTTGTGGAATTCGATGTTCATAAGAGACAAACCCTCCATCTCCTAAGTTTGCCTCCGTGGTGTTTGCTTTCCAGGATCCTGTCTGGCCCAGGACCGCGGGAAACTGGAGGCGCAGATCGAAAGTTTATGCAAAGAGAACGAGTCTCTGCGGAAGTCGAACGAGCAAGACAGCGACGCGCTGCGGATTAAGTGCAAAATCATAGAGGACCAAACCGAGACCATCGGGAAATTAAAAGCTGTAAGTTTGGCGTTTATTTTGGGAAGACGGCATATGGCAGGTGTGAGAATCTGGATCAGAGTGGAGTCTCCAATAAATGCTTTGTCTGTGCGAGTCCAGCTGTTGTGGAGTTTAAGACAGGTTATCGTGTTCCTTTTGCAGTACTTTCCCCTTTGCTTTTAAAGGTGATACGTGGCATTCATTTATTGACTTGAACTTACATTTACTTCAAGGTTTTATGAAGAATGTTGTTATTGCCCTTTGAAATAACTAGAAACAGTCTTGATGAAGGGTTAGGAACCACAAGAAAATGAACGTTTTATATGTTTAAAATATCCTTTCAAGCATTGCTTAATATCTCTCAATACTGCTCTCACTTCTCAAACTTATAACAAACCTACTCTCTTGTAGGTGAAGGTATATGACTAGATTGCAGGATTCATGCTTGTCTCGAGCCCACCATGTGCCAGTTGTACCCACCTCTTCTTACTTGGGCCCGCCTGAGAGAATGCTAACAAAATCACTTATTTCAACGTGTAGAAAATCTCCAGAGAAAGTTTTTGAAGATTGTCTTGAGCACTAAAGCATACTTAAATTCCAAACTTTTCTTCTTAAAGTGTAAAAATAATTGAAAAGGGAGTTTTCATTTTTTAAATTTTTAAAATATATTTTTATTGAATTCAGAGAGAGGAAGGGAGAGGAAGAGATAGAAACATCAGTGATGATAGAGAATCACTGTTCGGCTGCTTCCTGCACCCCCCCTAGTGGGGATCCAGCCCACAACCTGGGCATGTCGAACCATGACCTCCTAGTTCATGGGTTGACACTCAACCACTGAGCCACACCAGCTGGCTGAAAAGGTGTTTTTAAAGAAACTTCTAAATGGGATTATCGCCCATAAAGTTAGGACCTCAATCTTTAGAGAATTTATAACCACTTAATATTTTTTTTTTCCTTAGTCATTTTTAAGAAACTTCCTAATTTCATCAAGTACAGAAAATGAAGGACCCTGTTTACTCCCATGTTGCTTTCTCCATAGCTAGATGGGTTATGACTGCTTGCATTGTATTCTTGACCAGTGATACTGGTGTTCTCCCAATTGAAACTTTGGTCTCAGTATATCCCGTATTTCAAATATCTTTCACACATGCCAAGCTGCACTGATAGTTACTGAAATGTTTTAGCTGTAAGCTGTTTTTCTTGTTTTAAAAATCTAGCCAAGCTTATTGTCTTTTGATAAGGTAAATAAGAATCAGGAAGACTGGTTGTTTGCATTTAAATTCCACAAGGCAACGCAGGTGATATTTGGTCCAGCCGGTCATTGTGCTGGACTTAACCGCAGTCACCAGGCCTCCTCAGCCTGAGGACGTGCAGATGGCGGGCAGAGCTTCTTCAGCAGCAAAGTCAGCCTGACTGACAACTTAAAGGGGCAATGACTTAAAATGCAAATTTTGGAGTTTGATGCTTACACCTGAGTAGATTCTCTAGTTAGCTTCTGACTATGGAAGTTTGAAACAGAAATTCTTTAAAATGCTATTTCCTCATGTTATTTTGGTACTTTTCAGTATACATGGAGCACGAGACCCTGGTGCTGCAGTGCTATTCTGATTATTAAGAGGGTTATTTCATAAGAATCTTTCATGGCTTCTGTGGGTTCTGGATAACGTGTGTGAAGGCTGCCCGCACCTAAGTACTTCAGGGAGTCGTGGGAGAAAATGAGCAGTTCAAGGCTTATGCAGCTGTTAGTCAAGACTCCCTGACTACCTTTCTTAGAATCCTTAGCTCTGTCACACCCTGAGGAGCTGCACCATGTTCTGTGTGACACTGAGAATCCGCCCTAAAGTAGACTTGTCCAGCATTTGTTTGCCTCCATCTTCTTCCCAAGAGGAATGAGAGGCAAGTGGGGCAGGGAGAATCGGGGCAAAAATAAGACCCTCTTCCACGCTCACACCCACAGCCCTATGCTGGTGCACAGTGGGTCGTGCAGGACCAGCAGACATTGCACATGGCACATGCCTCAGGCGGGTTGACCCTCCTGGTGCCTGACCCACAGCACAGAAGACACAGCGAAAGTCCACCTCAGTCTGGGGGATGTGAGGTCTGTTTGCACGTGACATTTCACTAGTCATGAAATTGGACATTATTTAAAGTGTGTGTGCAGTAGAAATGGTTTAATCCCTTGAGCATCAGTCTTTGCTGTATCCCTGTCACCCACCTAAAGTTTTCTTTCTTTCTGTCCTGAAAACATATTCTTTCAAATGCAAAATGACATAATTGAATTCCCATTGCGCTGCTTTCCCTTCTACTCTCTGTGTGATTAGTAATCACTAAATTCCTGAAATAAAAAGTGTGAGTAGCACAAAAATTTTCCCTCTTAATAGCCCCTAAACAATAGTCTGTATATCTTTTCTAAAACATTGAACTTTGAATTCATTTTTATAGTTTTTAAAATAATTTAAAATCATACCTATTTAATTAGGAAATGAGACATCTAGGATTAATAAAGTACTTATTCTTTTTCTTGAAGTGTTTACAGGAAAGAGAGGAACAAATCAAAATATTACAAGAAAACATCTGTGAAATACAGAAATGTACTCAAGAACAACTTGACGAAAAATCTTCGCAACTGGATGACATAATTGAGAAACTAGAAAGACACAATGAAAGAAAAGCAAAACTAAAACAGCAGTTGCAAGTAAAGGAATTAGAACTTGAAGAAATTAGAAAAGCTTACAGGTATTCTCAGTGTTTCCTGCTAAGAAGTAAACTGCGGCTTAATAACTTGTCTGACCAATTCTGTCTCTAACATTCCTTCTTCTCTTGTCAGTATCCTTAATCAGAAGTGGCATGATAAAGGGGAGCTCCTCAGTAATCTGGAAATGCAAGTAAAGGAAGTGAAGGAGAAATTTGAGAACAAGGAAAGGAAGCTGAAAGCGGAAAGAGACAAAAGTGTTGAACTACGAAAGTAAGCATGAAGCCCTCAGGCACTGGGGCCGTCTGGGAATGGGGAGGGGCAAGATCGGGGAAAGCTGAAAACATGTTGGATGAAGTTATTTGCCAAATATTGGATTTCCATTCCATTATTTCATTTATAAAGGGAAGGTACTAGTTCCCTCTTCCGTGTTGTGAGCTGTAAGTCTGTGTCTGTTGTCTGTGTTTGTGTGGAAGTGCAGTACCTGACACATGGTAATTATTGTAGGTATGTTTGTCTTATTACTGCGCTTACTGTTTTCATGCTGTCTTCCTGAAAGCAGCCAGTGTGCTTGGCTGTTCGTATGGCTCTCTGAGGAGTACGTTGTCTGGGGCTCTGGGCCAGAGAAGCCGGAGCCCATTTCAAAGGGGGAGGAAGCCGTTCCTGGGACCACTTGTGTGGGTTTTGTAAGTGCTCTAGAGGAAATGCAGGTTTTAGCTTGTAAACTCTGTAACTAGGCCTATTACAACAGTTTATAAAGTTGACAGCCTTGAAACTATGTAACGCAGTTTCAGGATCAGTCTCCTGTCGAAATAGAGAGGTATAGACAGCATGCACAGACTCCCATTGTGGTGGCTCCATTCCAGGTGTCCTGGTGTTTCCACTCCCTAAGATTAGAGGAGGTGTTATCCTCTGCAGAAAGGTTTGATGGCAGCATCTGCTGATAGCCCTGTTGCACTGTGCTTTCACAGCTACCCAGGGTCCTCGGCTCAGAACCAATAGCAGAAAAGTGTTCATTGTGGACTTTTTAAACAAAGTCACTCATATCCTATATAATAAAAGGCTAATATGCAAATTGTCCCCACGGACAGGAGTTCGACTGACCGGAAGTTAGACGTGCGCTGACCACCAGGGAGCAGTGGCAGCAGGCAGCCGGGGTAAGGGAGGCCCCGGCCGGCAGCCAGCAGCCGCTAGGGACCCTACTCATGCATGAATTTCATGCACTGGGTCTCTAGTTTAATAAAAAGGAAGTGGTGTTCTCCCTCTAAGAAACTTTTAGTACTAAACTTTTAACACTAATGTGTTTATTAACCCTAGGGTTTTATCTGTTAAGCATTAGCACAGGGAAATCAGACACATCCTCCTATGTAATAAAACCTTAATATGCAAATCAACCAGATGATGGAACGACCAGTCGCTATGATGCACACTGACCACCAGGGGGCAGACGCTCAATGCAGGAGCTGCACCCTGATGGTCAGTACGCTCTCACACGGAGAGTGCCGCTCAGCCAGAAGCCAGGCTCATGGCTGGCAAGCTCAGCAGCCTCCGCGGCAGGTGGGCAGTAAGGAGCGAGGGGTCCCGGACAGCGAGAGGGATGTCCGACTGCTGGCTTAGGCCCGATCCTCCCTTCCCCCTCCCCCCCACCATCGGGCCTAAACTGGCAGTCAGACATCCCCCAAGGGGTTCTGGACTACAAGAGGACACAGGCCGGGCTGAGGGACCTCCCCACCCCAGTGCATGTACCAGGCCTCTAGTCTATGTATAAATGTAAACCTGCCTATAGTATACACTTCAGATACGTGTCACACTGCACATCCCTGGGGGAGGTGGCATCCCTGGGAAGGTACTTCCAGTCCCCTCCCACAGACTCAGACTGGAGACCAGAGCAGGAGCTCAGAGGCGAGACTCACAAATGGGTGTGAGGTTCCCTGCCCTATGCTGCTGGCTGACTCTGCTGGAGGGTGAGATGCCTGTAGCTGTAGTTCCTGAGATGGAGAGCCCTTTGCTACTTAGTGGAGTTTATGTGTCCATTGAAATATGAATGTGAGAGCTGCCATCTCAGAAGAAAAAGCATCCTAACTTTTATACACACCAAGATGTGAGTCTTGTTTTCTGTTTCAGGGATGCTGTGGAAAAGCTTTATTGTATGGATGATGCCTTTAAAAAACAAGTGGAGGCAATTGTTGAAGCTCATCACGCTGAAATAATACATCTGGAAAATGAAAAGCAAAAATATATTGATTCTGCAAATTTAAAGGTACTATCAGTACATTGCACTTGATTATCATTATTGAATTGTTACAGCTAAATAAATTGAGACTGATAAAGAGAAAAGGCAGCATGATTTAATGACCAAATACATATGAAGAATGTTGCCAAAACTATCATGAAGCCAGGCCAAAATGTTGGCAGGTTGTAGAATATAATTGCAGTGAAACCGAGGTCATGAGTGATACTGGTGCGGACCTGCTCTGTGATCTCTGAGTGAAAGTCACCATCTCCCTAACCAGCCTCAGAGCGAAGCCCCTTCGCTTGCACATGAGCAGGGTGAGGAGTGAGTATGTTAAACACAAGCCATCATTCCCGTGGGAAAATTCTCAAAAAGTAGTATTTTATCATTAATTAGGGCCCAGGACTATCACATTTGTCATATTGCTATCACTGACAAAGGAGCTTTTAATAATAGACATGCTTAAGCTTTCCCCTGAAATTTTCATTCACAGTTTGGGGTCAGACCCTAGTGTTTTTCAAACTCAACAGGTGATTCTCATGTGCCCCCCCCCCACCACCACCACCACCACCTCGTGAGATCTGCTAGCTGAGGGGGCAGTTTTGAAATTCCATTTTTCCCTGATTTTGAAGTGGTAATAGGAAACAGGTACAATAGTCCTGTCCCTCCCCCCCCCCCCCCCCACACACACACACGCGCGCGCGCCCCGTTTTGTTTTCTGAGGTTTGGGTTACATGCAGTCAGTTGTCCGAAATATAAAATAGAAAATTCCAAAACTAATTCCTCAGTTTTCAATTGCACACCATTGTGAGTAGCGTGATGAAACCCGCCCTTCCCTGTCCTGGCGGACATGAATCGTCCTTTGTCTGGGGCCTCCCTGCTGTATGTGCTCCCCGCCCGTTAGTCATTTGGAACCACCTTGGTGATCAGATCAATGTCGTGGTATCGCAGTGCTTGTGTTCAAGTAACATTTATTTTACTTGATAACGGCCCCAAAGCGCAAGAGGTAGTGATGCTGGCAACTTGGACATGCCAAAGAGAAGCCATAAAGCGCTTCCTTTAAGTGGAAAGGTGAACATTCTGGACTTAAGGAAAGAAAAAAATCGTATGCTGAGGTTGCTAAAATTTTCAGTAAGAACGAATCTTCTATCGTGAAATTGGGAAGAAGGAAAAAGAAATTCCTGCTAGTTTTGCTGTTGTACCTCAAACTGCAATAGTTACAGCCTCAGAGTGTGGTAAGTGCTTAGATAAGATGGAAAAGGCTTTAAATTTGTGGGTGGAAGACACAGACAGAAAACGTGTTCCAATTGATGGCAGCATGCTGCTCAAAAAGCACTGAACCTGTGAGGACTTCAGCAGGGACCCCTGAAACCAGGCTGTTCAATGCAAGTGCAGGGTGGTCACAGATCCAGGGACAGTAGTGGCATTTTATCAGCTCACATCTCAGGAATAGAAGGGGCAGTACAGTGCAGTAAGATGTTCTGAGAGAGATCACATCACGTGACTTTTATTATAGTCCATTCTAGATTCTAGATACTCTATTTTGTTGTTACTCTTGCTGTGCCTGTTTTATAAATTAAGCTTTATCATAGGTATGTGTGTGCAGGAAAACCGTAACATATAGGAGGTTTGGTTTTATCTGTGGTTTCAGGGTCTTGGAACATATCCCCACAGATAAGGGGGAGACTATCTTCTGTACGATTGGAGACTCAGAAATCAGCAGCTAGAAAAGAGCCCAACAAGAGAAAGTGACAGGAATACTCCGTATCGTTATAGTCAAGGTTGTATGATTAGTGGACATCACTCTCAGGAGTCTGTGAAGAGAGATGGCTGAGGGCTTTGGAAATCATCACAATGAATAAGGAAGTACAACTTGTTCAGAACTTAGTTCTGTATTTCATGTCAAATCAAGAGATGTTTCAGATGTTTTATTTAAGATCCGCTGAGTGTTTGGCAAAGGTACATCAGGTACCAAGTCAAGTATCAGGATAGGCCCGTACTTGGCTGAAAGGAAAATGCCTAGTTCTGTTTTAGATCTCCTACCGATACAACATAAAATTAAAGAGAGAGATCTGTTGGGGAGTTAAAGAAATGGTACCAGAACTTACATGTGACAATAAAAAAAATGTGAGGCATCACAGAGAAATGATAATTTAAATTAGGAGAAATATCAACTTTCTGGGGGAGAAAGAGTAGGAAAGCAGTGTTAGAGATTAGGAAGAGGGCTGGGCACAGTGACAGTCTTTTTGGGAGAGCTGGATCATAGAAAAGAGAGTTTCAAGCAGAAATTAATAGTATCAGTTACAGAGAACTCTCCTGATTAAACGACCTCTCAAAAAGATGGCAATTTTTTTCAAACACTTTTTTTAAAATATGTTTTTATTGATTTTTAGAGAGGGGATGGAGCATCATCGATCGCTGCCTCCTGCACGGCTCCTACTGGGGATCATAACCCCAGCATGTGCTCTAACTGGGAATCAAACCAGTGACCTCTTGGTTCCTGGGTCGATGCTCAACCTCTAAGCCACACCAGCTGGGCAAAGGTGGCAATTTATAACCACCAGCAGCAGCTGTAGAAATGCTGTTGGAACTATAGTAGATTATCATTGGGAATGGAGGTTATGTCAAGTTAGGAGGTCCGTAAGGGTCTAGTGTTTAAGGTGAATCCATTACTCAGCACTCATGGCAGTACAGGACAGTGCAGACGTGAAGCCAGAAGAATGAATGACTCAGCACTCATGGCAGCACAGGACAGTCCAGAGATGAAGCCAGAAGACTTTCTGTCCAGATGGGCTACTGAGAAGCTGCATGGCCTTCAACAAATTGTCTAAGCTCTAAAATAGAGTCTAAATAAATCACCATGTGTCCATCACCAGAACCTGTGAGAAATAGATACTATACATGTAAGTACTTTGTCTACAGCATAAACATTGTTTTCCCAGTTAGTATTTGAACAAGTTTCCTTTACTCTTTATATAAATAGAGCAAAATGCTCAAGAATACATTTTTGACTTTTTTCTTTCAGAATGCTTTTTTAAAATGATTCTTTTTAAGAAATTTAAAAGTAAAATTTATATTTGATTTAGGTTCGTCAAGTTGAAGAAGAAATGCGTGGACTTCTGCAAGAAAACTGCAAGAACAAAAAAGCACTGGAAGCAAAAATTAAGCATCTTGCTTTTGCTGTAAACGAAATTCATCAGGTCTTGTGATGGTTCTGAGAACAAACTCAATTGAAATGGACCAGCAGACCAATTGTAAAAATGATTAAATATTGTAACAGTAGTAACTGCTATGACTTTGAAATGTCTCTTTCTACCCATTTCATTCTGATTTTTAAAAGACTTTTGAAAAAGTATTTAATTGTAAATGTAGCTTTTTATAATAAATTGTTGATAATTATGTGTATTAGAAAAACCTATCCAAATAACTAGACTTAAGACACTTTTTGTTTCTGTACTATACATTCTTTGGTAATTACACTTTGCCTAAATATGTAAATGGAAATTAAGGTTAGCCTTTGATATATTAGGGAAATTATTTTAATAGTTGTCATTGCCTTATTGTATTGATGAAGAATGAATTCTATTTCTTGGTTGTCCTTTAGTTTATGTAGCTCTATTCTTTCAAAATGCTCATATGAAGAGCCAAAAAGTATCTGAGATCTGTATGGTCAGAGATGTGGCACTCGTAAGAAAGCATGTCACCATTTCCTCATCCTTCATAATGACCCCTTTTTTATAATGCATATGACTTTCATTAAAGATTACATTTAAGGTTTATAAACATTGTCTGTTCCAGAGGAACACTACTGTTCCACCCTTATTTTTTCATTTCCCCCTTTAGTCACTGTATATATGAAGAGAATTCTTATTTTACAACTGGAAACTGTTTTCTTCCATTCATCCAGTCATTTATTACTGTATCACTTTTGTCATCTTTTATGTTCCTGTGTATATAAAACAAAAGCCTAAGTACTATCCTCCTCACTGTTTTTGAAAGAGAATATAATACTATGCTTTTAAGTAATAGCCAGTGACATTTTAAAAGTTAAATGGAAAAATATAAATGCTTCTAAAAGAGGGTCCATGTTTCACTTTAGGAAGCTTCACACTGACATCTGTGGGACAGCATTGAACATACCGAGGTGTATGGGAGTTGGGGAGGAGAGAGCATAGAAATAATTTGGGAGAATAATAGCTAAAAACTCCCTAAGTTTGATGAAAAAAGATCAACTTACAGATCCAAGAACTTCCATAAAACCTAGGATAAACATGAAGAGAAACACTTAGACACTTTATAGTCAAACTGTTGGGAAAATCTTGAAAACAAGAAAATATGGTTTATCTCAGAGGAACAGTATGACTAACAGTTGACTTCTCATGAGAAACAGTGGAGACCGGAAGGCAGTGAATGACGTATTTGAAGTATGGGAAGACAGGAATCGTCAATCAAGAATGCTGTCTCCAAAACTATCCTTCAAAAGAAAAACAGAAAATGTATTGCTAGCCAAACTAATGGAAAAGAAATGTTAAAGGATGAAAGGAAATGATATCAGACAGTAACTCATAGCCACTGCAAGAAATAAAGAATATTGGAAACATGAACTCTGCGGACCTGTTTCCCAGCAAAATAATACTAACTGGCAAAGAGTTTTTTAAAATACCATTTAGTCTCTGAAAACTGTCCTGAGAGCATACTGCAGTGAAGACATTTATTGAAGAACATTTACTAAACCTGTCAACAGCAGAAGCCTGAGGCACCGAGACATAGCTATCTCCTAATACCTCCCACCCAGCCTGATGGGAGTTTCGTAGTTGGATGGCTGTGGCCAAGAAGATAGGTGCCCCTCTGCCCCACTCCATCAGTCACCAGGGAGGGCAAGCTGACAGCCTTAACCATGAGTCAGAAGAGCCAGCAAGACTCAAGCTACTACAATCAGGAATGAAAGCAAGGACATAATGGGGTGGGAGGAAACCTTGGGAGTTGATTACTATGTTTATGGTCGTGGCAGTGATAATTTTATGGTATAGACTTAACCTCACTCATTAGGTTGAATAAATGTTTTACATGTCAACAGAGTCTCAATAAAGTGGTTTAAAAAGGAAAAAAATTAATTGGTAATGACATTCCAAAGAACAAACTTGTTAGGTTAAATTTAACAAAAGTGTTAATCTTATACTCTGACAAGTACAAATCATTGTTGAAATAAGCTATTCATACATCGGGAGACAATATTGTTAGATGGTCATTCTCCCAAATTTATTTACTGATCTAGTGCAACCCCTATCAAAACCCGTTAGCCTGTTTGCAGACCTTTCTAAGATCCCCAAATTGATAAATTCAAAGGACCTAGAGTAGCTAAATCCATGTTGAAAAAGGAAAAGTTGGGAAATGCACATTTCTGGTTGCAAAACACTAGAAATCCCAGTAATTTTAAGTGTTAACTGACACAAAAATGGACATGCAGGTCAATGGGATCCAATTGTATGGAAATAACCCACGTGGCCGGGTGAGGCCGCCCTTCTGGGGCCGGGGGAGCTGCGGGCCAGGCCGGTGGGCGGGGACGCTGGCTCCGCCCCTGTTCTCGGTCCCGCCCCTTTCTCCAGCCCCTCTTCCTCCTCCGCCACTCCCACCGCCAGCGCGTCGCCTTGGCAACAGCGGCTGGCGTCACTTCCGGCCATTTAAACTCGGCGTCGGCGGGGCGCACTCGGGGATGGCGGCGGCCGAGCCTGCGAGCTCGGGGCAGTCGGCGCCGCAGAGCCAGGCCCAGGGTCAGTGGGCGCCCCCCGCTTCTCCCGCGCCGCCGTCGCAGCTCGGGGGCCCGGCGGGCGGGAGCAGCCGGCACGAGAAGAGCCTGGGGCTGCTCACCGCCAAGTTCGTGTCGCTGCTGCAGGAGGCGCAGGACGGCGTGCTGGACCTCAAGGCGGTGAGCGCGCCGCGGGGGCGGGGGGGGTGGACTGGGGCGGGGGAAGGGGCGCGGGACCGGGGCGCAGGGATGGGGGCGGGGGAGGGGTGCTGGGCGGGGGATAGGGGAGGGGACGGGGGAGGGGTCGCGGGGGCGGCGACGGGGCTGCGGGGTGTGCGGAAGGAAGCTGGCCGAACACCCGACCCGCCGCGTGGCCCAGCCCGACCCGCTGTCCACAAAGAGCCGCCCCGGCCACCGCGCTGTTGGGACGCGGTGGTTTCCATGGGCTGCCCGGGGCCACCGTGGGCGCTTGTTCCGAACCAGAGCGAGCGCGGTTGACCCTCCCCTCGGGCCCGCCCCTCCGCGAACGGAGTGAGTGTCCGGCCCTGCGTGGGGCGGCGCTTTCGGCGTGTAACTCCGTGGGCACGAGGCACAGACCTCTAAGGTGGGACTGCAGGGTCACCGGCGGGCTCTTCTGTCCCGTTAGGGTCGCCTGGGTCGTGGGGGCGCCTGCCTTGGGCTCCAGCTCAGGTCCTTCCAAGGACCGCGCGAGCGGAGGCCGGTGGTCACGCACCCGAGCTGGCCGCCCAGCCAGGGTGTCAGATGCACAGCGTCCAGGGACGCACGGGAACAGCCCAAAGCCGAGTTTAAGTGCGAACCAGGCTGTAAACACGCAAATGATGCAAAGTCTAAGCAGTCACTGCAGACACCGCAGGCGCTGTCCTGAGCCCAGGCTGACACAGCACTGTCCCCGCACCAGGGCCCACACGCCCACCTGACTGCATCCTCTGGGCATCCCCTGAGATTGCCGGCGGTGGGGTGCCTTCAGGCCCCGGCTTCCCTGGGTGCCGCCGGAGTGCAGGGAGCGGCTGTGACATGGCTCAGTGGCTGTGCCTTGAACACATGGGCGGCTGCACGTGTGGTGCCTCCAGTGCTGTCCCGAGTTTCCTCCCGCCCTAACGAGTTTCCTCCCGCCCTAACGTGCTTCATGGCCCCTCCTGCTACTCCTGGAAGGGTCATGAACTAAAATTAAAATGCCTTCTTCATAGGTAGTCGTGAGGATGTCACCACGCACAGCTTGCAGCTACTGTTCAAAACCTAGAAATTCACCTGTAGCCCTCGACGTGAATAAAAGGAATGTTGCAAGTTTGGGGTTTCCCAGAGAAAACTGAACTCCAAGGGCTGGCTTTGAAGGCTTCTCCCTCCACTCGCCTCAGAGATGAGGCAGCTGCGCCCACTGCCCTTGGGTTCTTGGCTTCCTCCTGTTTCCTGCAGTTGCCCATGAAATTACTCTGGGAATTAGTGAGCAGGAAGTGGGTTTAATATTTAATCACAATTTCCTAAAAGGTCAGAGGTTTCTGCAATACCATTGCCTTATGATATTAATAATTTTTTATTCCTAGAGATCAGTTTGAGTATCATTCCTTTTTTATATATATCTGGAAAAAACATACCGTTTATTTACATACATTTTGCATTCATTTACATATATATGATATGTAAAATCTATATCTAAAAAAATCTACTTTGAAGTCTTTCCAATGATGTTTCTTATTGTGCACCGTAGAAAAATACCATTAACGCATTTTCTTTACCTTTTTGTTTTTTATCATTACGTTTTTGATGTATTTTGAAATTATAAATTTGAAATTATAATCATTTTTTTGTTATATTCTTACTTTGAATGGTCCATTTCACCATAAGTTATAGACACTTTTGAGTTATACACTTGATATTTTTAAGAAGCAGTTCAAGAAACAATTTTTGTGAGTATCGCAAATATGAAAAATTATATCAGCCTTCACTTTCGCATGTCTTGGGTGCCATGAAACACCTAAGACCACCAGAATGCCGTCTCTTTCTAACCTCTGGCATGTACTACTGAAGAACAGGACACATTTCTCGAGTAAAACATCAAAAATGAAGTTCCATTGTAAAAGCTTGTGCAGTTTATTAAAAATCAAAAACTAAAAATTGGAACAAATTGAACGCGTACACATTTCAAAGCTCCTGAGTGTGGGTGGGGAACGCGCCTGCGGTGTCTAGGGAGTCCCGGGCCAGGGCTGAGCTGGCACCACAGAGCCGTGCGCTCAGGGGCCTCTGTGCGGGAGGAAGGTAGTCCTCGGTTTTTCATTCCCCTGCAGTCCCCCGAGAGCACTCGACAGCCCGAGTCACCCGTTTTCTGTGGGACTGTTTCATTTTCAAACCTCATTCTACAATGTCAGCCGCAGTCCCAAGCCTTAGACATGCGTGCCACTTTTTGTTAACGTTTATTATTTTTTAATAAATATGTAAATGGAGATGAAGATCTTCCTGCCTTTTCAGAGCATGTGTTCACTCCGGGGGCAATGCTGGTGGGCTCTGGTACCAGGACTGCGCCTGCAGGGAGTTAGGTAGCATGGACCTTTGACTGCACACCCATTTATTTAAGTCTTTTAGAAACATTTGAAAAGTTTTGCCACAAATGTATGTCACGAATATATAATTAATGCCAATTGGTACCTGAGTATCCATTTGCTTTCAGAATCTGTGTCCTGTGAAACAGGATAACTGCTTTACAGCGCAGTTGAGCGTTGACTTCGGTTCTGCCTGGGAAAGGTCTGTAACACAGGTCCTGTTATTGGCTTTAAAAGGCTCTCTGTTCATAATCTCTAACCGTGTCTGAAATTAGCTAAAATTCTGGCATCGACAGCACATTGTGGGGCACGGCTGAAGGTTTTTAAAATTCTCTTTGAAATATGTCATGGGCAGCTTGCTGAGCCACTCGGGCTCCTCCCACCTTACTTTTAGGACCTTCACTGCGTGTGTGTGTGTGTGTGTGTGTGTGTGCGCGCGTGTGTGTGTGTGTAACGCATTGGTCATAGGTAGTGTCACCTGTGTGTTTGTGCGTTCAGATGCTTAGCAGTCCAAACACTGCACACGTGTCCTGACAGCTGTGGCCCCGGCAGGAGCAGCGACCTGCTCTGAGATGAGAACATGGGGGACAGGTGTTTCCCTAGTTACTGTTTCATGTTCAGAGCCTCATGTGCCCTCAAAATACTCTTGGGTGAATGAGCTGCAGCTAATCCTAAGCAAACAGCTGCCTGGAACCCGCCCTCCAGCGCTCACACTGTCCCAGCGCAGGTGCCCGGGAGTGGGGGCGATGCTGGGCAGCCCAGGTCACCGCACAGGTGCAGTGCTGTCGGGGATCTCACCTGGTTCATTGTCTTGAGCGCCTCCCACCAGGGTTCCCGGCCGGAATGGTGCCCCACCTGTAGGCACCCCCTGGCTCCCGTTGGTGACCTTGTTAGAAGAGGATTCGGTGTTTGGAAGGGAGGCTGTTCTCCCCTGAGGGTTCTGTTTGCTTGTGTGTTTCCCTGGGCAGTGGAGCCGGGTGGTGCAATGAGATGCTTCCTTCACGGCCTGGCAGGTCACGTCCCGGTGCAGGGTCTGTCGGTAGCCCTGATGCACACGGCTGTTTATTCGGCAGCTGCAGGGCGCTGGGATGGGGGTGCGCCGCCCTGCCCTGGGCGCCCGTCGGCACCAAGGCCTGTCTCCAGGGTTGGAGAAACGCGGAGGGGTCCAGCTCTGCTGCTCACTCTCCTGCCCCTCTTCTCTCAGCCACGGCCCCCTCCCCCTTCACTGCACCCCCACTGGAGAGAAAATAAAAAGCCATCACAAGGAGATGCCTACCTGTCTGCCATCTTACCTGCGTCTTAGAAAGAAATGACATTCTAGAGAGGCCTCACAGTTCCCTGCAGCAGCTGCCCAGAGCCCCTGGCACTGCCCAGCGCTCCACCTCCTTCACTGGCACCTCTTCTCCACTAAGGCTCTGCGTCCCTCACTGCCCAGACAGCTGTGACAGGTAGTGTCACCACAGTGGCCCTTCAAAGCCATCTCGAGGGTCAGGTGTCAGTGTTCCCACCCGGTTACGCTTTCTCCTCTCCAAGCCTCCCAGGACCCCTCCCCCTCCTCCGCATTAGGGCGCCTGCCCCTTGGTTCCCTGCTCCCTGCTGGGCCCTGGGACACCTTGGAGTGCCCCTCCCACTCCAACCTGACTGCCAGGGCTGATGTGGCTGCTCAAGTGCACGCCTCCTGCAGGTCCTGTCCACGCGTGCTCTGTACTTGTCGGCTGTGCATGCGCTCGTGTGTAAAGAGAAGGAACTGATGCTGAGTTTTGGAAAGCCAGGGCTAAATGTGTAAGTTGTATAGTGGGAAACTTTAAAATTGAGCTAAAAGTGAGACCTGATGGCTCTTTGCCTAAGGACCAAGGACAGCTCCCGTGGTCTGTTTCCTGTGACCACCCTGGTGTTCCAACCATGAGCTGGCGGGTGGGGGGCCAGTGGGGGCCGGGTGAGCGCTGGGAGCCCTGCTCTGTCCGAGCACCTGCTGGGAGGACCCAGCCGCCTGGGGGTCTGGGTTCCCTCTCAAGGGCCTTGTCAGAGGAAAGTGAGAACTGTGCCCACAACTCCAGTGTCTCTGCAGTTAAATCTGCAGTGGCTGCTGCTCCTCAGAAAAGTAGCCTCACACTCCACACGGACGCGGCAGGAAGGTAAGCGGAGCGTTGCTGAGCCCAGGCTGGTCCTGTTGTAACTGCCTGGGTCTGCCTGTCTGCCACTTCCCCCTGAAGACCGAGAGGCGGGCAGGAGTCGCCTGCACGTTTTGGTGGCACAGCACATGGATTCTTACAGGTTCCAGACACCGGTGAGGTGAGCTGTCGGTCACACTTGCTCCCGACAAGGGGGTCCAGCTTGCAAAATTATGGGTTTTGTAGGAGCTGCCTTTATACAGAATCAGGAAGGGAGCGATGCCCCGAGAGGGCTGGTCCCGTGCGCTGTGCGGTCTGGGCGGAGTGCTGGCCACGGGGCGCGGACTCGGTCCGTGGCTGCAGGAATGGAGACTGCGCCGCGTTCCGCAGGCTGTTGCCGAATCCACTTGAAAAAGAGCCGCGGGTCCCCGTTCTTTAGTTTCCAGTCGTCCTATTAGGGACAAATGTCAGAAATGTGAGTGGGAATGGTTGGAATTCCTGAATTCGCCAGAACGCAGGCATTTTTGTTGTCCCGCGGCCGCGCGTGGTGGGGGGTTTGCCGCGTGGGTTCTCACTGTGTTTCCGAAATGCGCAGAGTGTACATCAGGTTCGCCACGTGTGTCCATCAGAATTTACCCCAAGTAAGTTGACTGAATTATTTTTTAAATTACCGAGATATAATTTTTCAAAGTTTCAAAAAAGAGTTGAAGCTGTCTTTAGTCAGGACTGTTTGCGACAGGGAGATGAGACAGGACGCGGCAGGGCCGGCAGCTGGCCGTCCCGGGATTAGCCGCGCGGTGCCAGGAGGTGTTCTCGCTGTTCTTTTATCCCGCGGGCTCTGTGCCGCCACCTCTCCATTTTCTTGCCGTTTCAGCATCTGCTGACTTTACATGGAGTCGCGTCCGCGGGCCTCCGGGTGGGAGAGCTGCTTGAACCCCCTCATTGTTCCAGCCGCCGCTGGCGCCGAGCTGGGCCTGGGCTCTCGTGCTGTGCACTTAATCGCCAGGCCTTTCTGGCTTTAAAATATGAATTGTAATTTATTTCATTGCCCGCCCCCCCTGTCAACAGGCTGCAGATACTCTGGCTGTGAGGCAGAAAAGAAGAATTTACGATATCACCAACGTCTTGGAAGGGATCGACCTGATTGAGAAAAAGTCCAAAAACAGCATCCAGTGGAAGTAAGTCGCGAGGCCGACTCCGCTCGGAGACTGCTACTCCCAGCGCTGCAGAGCCCGGCCCTGCCCGGCCCTGCCCGGGGCTTCTGCGCAGGTCCCGGCGGCGGCGGCTGCTGGGTTAGGCCCTGCTCCCTGCGGTTTGATTTACACTCTTAGAAACTCACGTCATACGTTCTCCCCAAGGCCCCGCACGGTGCCCCGCACACTGCTGGGTCATTATTCCCTCTCCGCCCAAGTGTTGGTCAGCTGATAAATTAATACAAACGCCTTGAGAAGCAGGAACTACATCTTACCTGTGGGAACATGTGCCTTACAAATAACAGTTGATCGAAATGCACGTTGTCTCTTAACTGTGATCTGGTTGTATGTTTGTGACAAATGCATTCTGTTTTGCATATTTGTCCCCTTTGACCTTCATTTCTTATTTTTTTATTTTGGTCAAAATCCCACCAAAATATGTAATCTATTACCTGTATCTCAGCCTACATCTGAGATGTCCAAGTTGACTGTTTGGCTGTGACATCTTTTTGGTGTATCTGTCACCAGCCTGACGTTCCAGGTGACAGGCACCTTGCTAAATCATGCTGGGAAATTTTGAAATTTCACTGTTCTTGCCAAGAAACATGCTAAGCAATCATGTTCTGAGGCATCGTAATTAAATTTTTTAATCCTTTATTTTTATAAGAGTGTAAAGATTTTTGTCTTCAACACATTGCTCCGTCAGTGTTAGTGCTGTAACACTCAGGTGCTGTGGTTGACCTGGGTCTGATGTGGCGTGTTCATGCTCCTGTGTGCAGAGGTGTGGGCGCTGGCTGCAACACTAAGGAAGTCCTGGAGAGACTGCGAGACCTCAGAGCCGAGGTCGAGGACCTGGACCTAAAGGAAAGGGAACTGGATCAGCAGAAGTCGTGGCTGCAGCAGAGCATCAGAAATGTGATGGATGATGCCATCAACAGCAGATATCCTTTCCATGGTTGCACGTCACTTCCAGCTGCGAAGGAGTAGTTACAGGTGCACGTCCAGCTGGGGGGGAGTTACAGGTGCACGTCCAGCTGGGTGGGAGGAGTTACAGGTGCACGTCCAGCTTGGGGGAGGAGTTACAGGTGCACGTCCAGGTGGGGAGGGTGAGTTACAGGTGCACGTCCAGCTGGGGGGGAGGAGTTACAGGTGCACATCCAGCTGGGGAGGAGGAGTTACAGGTGCACGTGCAGCTGGGGAGGAGGAGTTACAGGTGCACGTCCAGCTGGGGAGGAGTTACAGGTGCACGTCCAGCTGGGTGGGAGGAGTTACAGGTGCACGTCCAGCTTGGGGGAGGAGTTACAGGTGCACGTCCAGGTGGGGAGGGTGAGTTACAGGTGCACGTCCAGCTGGGGGGGAGGAGTTACAGGTGCACGTCCAGGTGGGGAGGGTGAGTTACAGGTGCACGTCCAGCTGGGGGGGAGGAGTTACAGGTGCACGTCCAGCTGGGGAGGAGGAGTTACAGGTGCACGTGCAGCTGTGGAGGAGGAGTTACAGGTGCACGTCCAGCTGGGGAGGAGGAGTTACAGGTGCACGTCCAGCTGGGAGGGTGAGTTACAGGTGCACGTCCAGCTGGGGGGGCGGGGGGAGTTACAGGTGCACGTCCAGCTGAGGAGGACGTTCTGCCTGATGTTCTCCCAGCCAGGAGTTGGGTGCTTTGTTCCACTGTGTTTAGAGATTTAAGTTTAGGACGTAAATGTAACATTTTAATTTTATGTTGCTAACAATTTAAAAATTTTGCCTTTTTAAGTTATATAGTCTGTCTAGTACCATCATTCCTGTGTCTCATTGAGAAAAGAAATTTCGTCTACTTTTCGTCTACCCATTGCTAGACAGCAATACACAGGCCGAATGCTCGGGGCTTCCGTGAATTGTAGACACCATTGTGAAGTGTGTAGGTTATTATAAATAGGGTGGGGAGCCTTTTTTCTGCCAAGGGCCAGTTGGATATTTATAACATCATTCTTGGGCAGTGGTTGGCAAACTCATTAGTCAACAGAGCCAAATATCAACAGTACGATTAAAATTTCTTTTGAGAGCCATATTTTTTAAACTTAAACTGTAGAGGTAGGTACATTGTTATTAACTTAATTAGGGTCCTCCTAAGGCTTAGGAAGAGCCACACTCAAGGGGCCAAAGAGCCGCATGTGGCTCGTGAGCCGCAGTTTGCCGACCACGGTTCTTGGGCCATACAGATTGATGAACTTAACTATCAGCCTGCTGTATTTGGTCCAACGTTTAATTAGCTCACCCCCAGTGCCTTGGCAGGGCCAGACCAAAGGATTTCGCGGGCCCACCCCTATGTCTGTGCTCTGGAGGGTGAACATTCAGCAGCTCTCAGAGCTTTGAGAAGTCACTGTGGGTGGACAACCCGGGACACTCCGCCTGATACTAACTCAGCGGTGGAGCCTCCCAGAGGGTGGGTCCAAGGCTGGCGCATCTGCCAGGTTAGAAGGAAGAGGGGTGCACCCCGAGTTTCCACGTCACTGTCCCCTTGATGTCTGCAGTGCCTGGATATGCGAGCACCCCTTTGCTCTCTGGGACATTTCCCGGCATCAGCCTCGTGCCGCGTGAACTTGGACCTACCTGAAGTCAGGGAGGCTCCATGTCATCTCGTCCTGGGTGCACAGGTCCATGAGCTCTCGTGTCACTTTCTCTGTTGGTCAGAGCTTCAGTGTGAGAACTGGGGGTTTCCAGCTGTGCCCTGTGGGGCCCCAAGATTCCAAACCCATTGAACTGGCTGACCTTGGACTTTGCTGCACGGCTTTCCAAGGTTCCGGCTACGCCCAGGACCCAAACTGCGGCCCAGGAAGGTTGTGGGTGTGGAGGCCTCTGGTTGTGGCATCGGCTTCGCGGCCAGGCCCCCAGAGCCCGGCTCCTGAGGAAGAGGTTTTCGTCTGTCCCGAGGGCCCGCCGGCCACAGAGCCCAGAGCGCACCGGGCCCTCCGGGCGCCCTTGCTGGCTCGCCTCTGCTCTTGCAGGCTGAAGACCGGCTTTTCTCCCCCGACTGTGCGGCAGCCCCACAGGCATTCGGTCGTGGTGTTTGTTTAGGCCTCTGGTTTATTCATGGAAATGCCTAGAGCTTGATGCAAACGTGTTCCTTAACTCCTGCGACGCACGTTTTCCTACGTGACTCACGAGGACATCTGCAGCTGCTTCCACGGTGAGTCGGTGCCGCCTCGATCGACTGCTGCTGCGGAGACTCGGAGTCCGGGTTCACCGGGCCAGGGTCAGGCGTGGGCTCCTCGTCTCGCTCTGCAGTGCGCTGTGCTCTACCCGCTCATGTCGCTGTCTGCGTTGCTGGCAGTAAACGGGGAGGGAGGGGCAGCTCAGTCAGACTGGGGCTAAATGACAGTCACAGTCAGGGACCAACTTGAACTCAGTTCATCGCTCTGTCTGTGAAACTGCAGCGAGTGTGCTGGGCACAGACAGAGCCAGAGGAAGCAGGAGGTGCCGATGACGAGGAAAGCTGCCTCCCCCAGCCCACCCACCTCGTGTGACTCCGGAAATGACCACGTAGTGGATGAATAGCGACCAGGGTGGGGCTGTGCACACGTCTCAGTATCATGCCCGCCAGGAGGACAGCCTGTCACTGACTGCAGGCGGGTGTGGCTGTCGCTGGACTTGGCCACCCCTCGGAGGCTGCCTTCTGCAGAGAGGGTGGGATGGGGCTTCACAAGTAAGCTCGCTCACGTCCGAGTTCAGTGTGTGGCGCGTCTCTGGCGTCCCGATCATCACGTCTTAGCTACTTCAAGTGAACAGTGTGGTTTAGTTGACGTTAAACGCTGTCAGCGTCTCAGGTCTAACAAGTCCCTGGAGCTGAGCTTGTTCATGGGAGTGATAGATCAAGGCTGTGTGTTGCCCAGATCTGAGGTCTCCTATGTCTGTGACCTCCGTCCTCAGCACCGCCCTGTGGGGTTACAGCCCCTGCTCTACAGAAGGAAGACCCCAAAGCCACGCCGGAGCCTGGGATTCGAACCCAAGCCTCTGTCTCCAGGGCCCACCCACTTGCCACTCTATTTCCTAAAATTGAAACATCTGTTTTCTGACAGGTGACACACTGTTGGCCATCCAGGCACCTGCGGGCACGCAGCTGGAGGTCCCGCTCCCAGAGATGGTAGGTGGGGCTGGTCAGAGCGGACCCGCTGGCTCGGGAGGGAGGCCCCATGTGTCTCCTCCGCACACGAGCTCACGGTGTAAACTCTCAGGCGTCAGTGCCAGGGTCTGGAGACTGAATCTGGGTGTCTTCAGTACTTTGGTAAAATTGTAGACATGACTGAATGAATTATGTAACATTTTATTTTTTTTTAATTTGATTTCACGAGTCATGATATAGTCAATAATCTCAAAGCATCAGTTTGGCTATATCTGCAACCCATGTACCAGTCCTGTCTGAGGAAGAAGTTCAATTGAAATATCAACAATAATACGTGGTTTTAAATTGGGTCATTTTAACACATGTCTGGCTCATTGAGTCATATATGTACTAACTCTTTGCTACGTCCAAGTTTCATGAATTTAGTTTGGGATTCGGAGTTCCTAAAACAAACTCATTCGAAAGCTGTAGCAACCATGGCAGGGGTAGACAAAGGTGACAGCCGTCACCATGGCCGCCCCAGCCACCTGGCGGCTTGGATGTGGGCGTGCACGTGATGGACTCTGCAGCCTCGGGACCCGGGTCACTTGGAAATGCAGGGACGTTGCACCCGCCTCTGTAGGAAAAGTCCATGGTTGTGTGCTTGCTGCTGGAGATAGACAGCAGCTGAGGGGCCATGTGCTGGGCCCACAGCCGGGAGGGGGTCCCCACGGAGGATGTGAGCAGCCATGACGGTAAAGGGGAGTCTGCCAGAAGTCTGCAACTCAGAGTTTGTGAAGCTCGGTTTTTTGAGAAAAACTTACTTTAAGGGGCAGGGGCTTAGAGCCTCCATTCCCCGTCCTGCTCGTGGTCTCCACGCAGGGTCCTGACCAACTGCCTCTCTCTTGTGTGGATTTAGTTACTCCCTAGTAGCTTTATCTCATTTTCAATTTGTTTACACTTCACAACTTCAAGGGTCAGAATGGACAGAAGAAGTACCAGATCAACCTCAAGAGTCACTCGGGCCCCATCCACGTGCTGCTGATAAATAAAGAGTCCAGTTCGTCTCAGCCTGTGGTTTTCCCTGTTCCCCCACCGGATGACCTCACGCAGCCCCCCTCTCAGCCTTCGACTCCCCGGACTCCGCACAAGCCCAGCCCCGCCCCGCCGAGCCCTCCGGGGCCGCCCGCCTCTGAGAGGAGCCCCGGCCTCCAGCACATCCTGGCCACAGACTCGGCTTCAGGTGGGCCCAGAGCCTCCGTCTTAGGAAGGGGAGCTTTTCTGAATTTGTCTGTGGCCTAGTGAGTGTCACCTGATGGAGAAGGGAAATAGGAAGCTTAGTGTAATCAGCAAGAGTGATGCAGTGTCTGTGTGTCCAGCGCCAGAACAGGTTTATGAGAAACATCCTGTCTTTTTATATTTACTAGAGGCCCAGTGCACAAAATTCGTGCACTTGGGGCGGGGGGGGGGGGCATCCCTCAGCCCGGCCTGCGCCCTCTCACAGTCCGGGAGTCCTCGGGGGATGTCTAACTGATGGCTTAGGCCCGCTCCCCAGGTGGAGTGGGCCTAAGCCAGCAGTTGGACATCCTCAGCCCTGCCACAGAGGCAGGAGAAGTTCCACCACCACTGCTGCGCTCACCAGCCGTGAGCCCAGCTGGCTGAGCGGTGCTGTGTGAGAGCGCGCTGACCACCAGGGGGCAGCTCCTGCATTGAGTGTCTGCCCCCTGGTGGTCAGTGCGCGTCATAGCGACTGGTCATTCCACTGTTCAGTCAATCTGCATATTAGCCTTTTATTATATAAGAGTATTATTAGTTTGGTATAATTATAATTGTATTATATAAGTATTGTAATTATGTTAGTATGGATTTATTAAGATATATTTACACACACAATCTGATTCTATATCCAGAAACACACGGTGGGTGCAATGTGGCTGAGACTGTAGAGCCCTGCACGTTCAGCAGTGTTTAACGGGCCTGAAGTGCAGTTTTCTGTAGGGTTCCATTGTGCCGCTGCTGCCACACGCACATCTGCTCTTACCCGAGGTTTGCTGTGGAGAGGAATCTGCCGGCAGCTCGGACAGGCTGCCGCCATCCTGGCTGCCTTTGCGCAGCTGGGCTGTGGAGCGCAGACCCCCTGTCCTCGGTCCTCACTGCAGTCCCTGTGTCTGGAAGGGGGAGTGGCACAGGGGTGATGGTCAGGTCACTCAAGCTGGTCTCATTTGTACCTTCAGGACGTGTCCCAGGACAGGGCGGGAGTCAGCTGCCCAGGTTGCTCTCGGTGGTGCCTGGTGAGGCTGTAAAGACAGGTCTGACCACACACAGAGTCTCAGGGTCGTGTCCTGTCCCCTCCGCCCTGTGCTCCCCGTATTTCTACCATTAGGTGTGGGAATGCCTGTCCCCTAAGGATAACCTAATGGGGGATAAAGCAGGCCAGCTTCATAATGTTCACCTCAGACCCAGTCCACCGGCTCCACGAAGCATTCAAAAACGTGTGAGCAGTTAGTGTCTGTGTATGATTTGTGAAAGGCAGTTTAGGGCCGGGCTGAAGAGGGCCATGACAGACTGAGTGAGGACTAGCAGTAGCCAGTGAAGTTCTGTGGCTGGCAAGTGGCTGTGGGGTACCACACAGGCGCCGAGTGCGGGACCCGGAGAAGACGCCTGGGAACAGAGGGCAGGGCCGTTGTGCAGCTGTGAGAACATTGAGGCCACAGGAGGGTGATGGCAGTGGGTGCCTGAGAGAGAGAAAGAACAAGCAAGAAGTACTATTTAGGCAAAATAAGCCCTGTCTGCCGTGCGGGATCTGGAGATGGGGCTGACGGAGGAATGGAAAGTGATGGTGCTTCACTGGCGAAAGCCCAGGAGTCCGTGTGGGGGAGGCGGCGGCTTTGGGGCCCCGGGAGTTTGGAAATTTACCAGTGAGACCTGTAGGTGCGAATGGAAACATCGCTCCCTGCGTGCTAGCCCTTCACTTGTACTGAGTGGGGGCTGATGCGGACTCCCGTGTTTAGCGTGCTGTGCCTGGGGAGAGCCAGCTGCCCCCGCTGCAGAGATGTCACAAGGCGCGATCACGTTTCTCTTCCCGCAGGATCTGTTACTGGAGATCTCATTGATGAGCTGATGTCTTCTGATGGTAAGCCATTTAAAACTGTACAATGGGGCCTTGACTTACGAGTGTCCTGACTAACGACTTTTCCGAGATACGAGCCATCTCTCGGCCGATTTTTTGCTTTGAGTTGCGAGCTAAAATTCGGGTTACGAGCCAGCTTCAGATACCCCACTGCTAGTTGGCACAGCGAACGTCACAGTGAACGCCACAACATCAGCCCAGCATCACGTGTCTCACTGGTTCACAATTGATTTGACAGACAAGTAATATGACGAGCTCCGTCACGGAACGGATTAAACTCGTAAGTCAAGGCCCCACTGCACTGCCTCTCTCAGGGGCAGACTTGCTTCCCTGAAGTTACAGGTGGCACAGGATTGATTGATCAGGTACTTAGTGCCTTATGGCGAGTTGTGAAAATTCTCCTTCAATAACACTGGTGAGAAGATCCTGGGCGTCCGGCCCCGTGGGTCTGTGCCTGCTTCTCAAGGGGACTCTCAGCAGGGGACACTTGCCTGCACTGAGTAGACTCGCTAGGTGCTGGCGCTCGAGTCCTTTACTCCACAAGAATCTGGCCAAGGCCAGGTAAGCTGTCAGTCACCCATGCACTAAGCTCAAGCCACCGCACTGCTCCTGACCTGGCCACGTCATCAACTAAACTGGAGTCTGTCAGACTCAACAACCCAGTATTGTGATCACTTCAGTGGGAACTGTCAGCCTCACCTTCCCTTAAATTCTGGGCCTCAAGTCTCAGCTCCTGGCCGTGCAGCCAAGACCTGGAAAGGCAGAGCTGCACTCAGCAACGGAACCATAACCACCTTAGATTCCTTCAACATTTCAGAAAAAAGAGAACAGTAACACATTTATTAGCCTAAGACTAGTTCTGTTATGTTTTCAAAGCAGAGAAAATACTTTGTTTTTAAATACCCATGTTCTTAAAAGATGTATTTTAGTGACAAGTTCAGCCAATAGTTACTTAAACCTATTTCTCAAGCTTATACCTATAGTCAATGCACAAATTATCTTTAAACGAGAATCTTTCAAATACACAGTAAACACAAGTCATTAACTTGATCACTGCTTTTCCACTTTTTCTTGTAGAACACAGAAACGATAGTTTAACGGATGTGCCTTTGAGTGTGTGGAGCCACGCTAACCTTGAGCCTGTGCTTTGCTTGCAGTGTTTCCTCTCCTGCGGCTCTCCCCCACCCCCGCGGACGACTACAACTTTAACTTAGATGACAGTGAAGGAGTGTGTGACCTGTTTGATGTCCAAATACTAAATTATTAGACTCCTTGGACACCTGGGACAGTATCTACCTCTAACTGAAACCTTGTAGACTTGCTAATAACCTGAGTATTTATAATGAACGTAACACCTGTTTAGGTCGCTGATTCTGACGTCTTCTTCCCTAATACTTGCTCTCCGACTTCACAAAACGTCAACTGTGAAAACAAAGGGTTCTGAAGCCCCTACACTGACTGCATTCTGGAACTTCAACTTACCTTCCAATTCTAACTCTTTTTACTCTTGTGAAAGGAAAGTTAAAAGGTTAAGGTCATCAAAAACCAAAATGGCCACGGGCTCATCACTTATTTGTGTTCCGCTTTTACTGCCACGAAACTGTCTGTATTTCTGCGCTCCGATCCTGACAGACAGTCACTGCCACGTATGGAGTGAAGGTGCCCGAGAGGCTTCGGTCACTTCCCGTGAAGAGTTTGTGAAGTGCCTTTGTTCTAGCACTTTAAGTTCACCACGTTTGCTGACTCCTGACATTCCACTTTCCTGGATTATAGGAGAGGGCTGTTTATGTAGTGGTTTTTAAAATGTGCCAATGCCTGTACATTAACAAGATTTTTAAAAATAAAGTTGTATAAAGCATTTATTGGTCTTTGGGGGAATCTGATGCATCACCAGGTGCATTACAACTGAGCCATTAATCTCGTAGCTTCGTCAACATTCACTGGTCTGTTTTCCTGACTCGGCTGAAGAGCCTGGAGGGAGAAAAGTATTTAGAGTGTAAACATTCAGGTAACAGTAGTGCAAAAAATTACATGTCCTCTATTACCCAATTTAATTTCTACTCATACCTTTGGAAACATGATAAATTCTCATGTTCATAATGTTTATGAATATGCTATAAATATAGCACAGCCAAGTACACTAGAGAGGCGAATACTAAAGATCACATTCGACTTACAGGCTGTGGAAATTTGGGGGTTAATTTATTAGCCTCCAGTTTATTAAAAAGAAATGCTCTACGCACCAGCTGTTTCTGCAGAGGTTCAAGGGAAAGGCCTTGAGAGAAGTGAGCAAGCTCCTTCTGTATGTTCACAAAAGCTTCATTCATTCTTTTAATTTTTTCATCGTTCTTAATGATTATCTTTTTAAAAAAGAAAAAGAACATTAATCCATGAGCTTATAACCCTTAAGGATAAAATACACTCAACCTTAATTTAACCGTGTTAAACCTAAACTAAGACAATTGTACCAGTTTCTGGGCAAGCTTCACACTAAAACTGTCTTATTGGGGAACACTGGGAAAAGGACAAAAGGTACTGTTTCTTAAGAAGGACAAGTATGTGGAACACCCCCTATCTTGACTCCACCTGGGTAAGCAGGCCAGAATGTGAACCAGACGGCCCCACTATTATCTCTCGCCGATGAGGCAGAACCCGCCTCCCATGCTCCTGTCCTGCTAACAGAGCCTCAGCCTCCCTCACCTTCTTGCCCTGATAGAGGTTCCTGGCAGTCTGAGGACAGCCACCTGGCAGCCCCCATCTTGAATCTGAAAGTGGGGTGGAGGTCCTATTCTTCCTGTAAACCTTATGCCCTGGGACACCCTGGCCCCATCCTCCCCACTGTCACCTGCCAACACCAGGACTACTTGCTCCTTCATGAAAGATGTCCAACCTCAGCTCACTAAGCTCCAGGCCTGGCGTCACTGCCTGTGGCTTCAACAACAATCTAATGCTGTGGCCTTGTCTCCAGGTCCTCATCTCCTGTCCACTTACAGTTTAGTCAGGATTCATACATCTCACTGCAGCCTCCGCGTCCATTTCACGTTCCTGCACTCCCTCAGCCAGTACAGACCCAGACCATTATCTCCTCAACCACTGAACTTTCCTCTCCATGTCTCTCCCATGTCATACTTGCCTGCAAGCCAGTTACACTCACTGATCAGACTGCTGAGCCTAAAACCAAAACCCTAGAAAATCGTAACCGGGTGAGTGGCTTCATTTTAAATCCATGGCCACAAACTTCTGACCATTTGCAGGGTGCCTGGCCACCCACTGCCTCCTCTGGTAAGTCAGGCCATTTTTTGAGAAACCTACCCGACCAGGCTGCCAACCCACACACCTCCCTCTCGGACACTCCCTCAGGCACAGGAGGCTCCAGCGCGTCCACCTGAAGAAGTCACATCGGGGCCTCGGCAGCTCTCTGCCTGGGACGCTGCTCCGGCGCCTCCCCGCTCTGCGCATCACTAGCTCCTGCTCACTCAGGTCTTGGCCCCTGTCAACGATTCCATGTGAAATTATCGCTCCAAACTCGTCATATCACCTGCTTATTTCCTTTACAGCATTTCCAAAGTCATAAAATCGCTTGATCAAAAAGCTGACCTCAACTAGTTCATGAAAACTGAAAAAGTTACATTTCTGTGCACTATCATGATATTTACTAAGTCCCAGAGAGCTGATGCCACATATTACTTCAACTTGAAAACATTTTCTGAGGACTCTGCTATATATATCTTGATGAATAAATTTCCTATTTCCCAAATACTTTGAAGTAAAAACAAAAAAGAGGAACGCCTTTTCAAATTTTGCATTTTAAGAAACACAGTACTGTATTTTCACTTGACAGGTTCCTGAATATGCCTGAGGTCAGAGAAGGACTGGTTCTGACACGGGGATTTCTGAGACCCGATAAAGCTATCAAACTGTTACTTGGCGTCTCAAAGGTTTGCAGTTAATTTTGTTCGTTTTGTACATTTGGATTCAAGAAAGGGATGTTATTCTCCATTTTTTTAAAACAAATGTTTAAAATCTGTCTGCCCTTGTAGGAAGGCTAAGAACCTGTTTTAAATAATAGCATCCGGTTTCTCGCTAGCTTTACCTTCATGCTTTGTTTGTAAACCAGGAAGCTGGGGTGCTTAATACTCACCTTCTTAAGATTCGTGGTAACTGGTTTTGCTTTACTTTTCCCCGTGAAGTGTTTCTGGCTGGCTATGTGAAATACATTCCTGGGCTTCTGCCCTTTCCATTTGTTCTTGGCCATTGTCTAGAAAAGAAAGAAAAGGAGCTCAATTAAGCTGCCCACATTTATGACTGTAAATCAGTTTAAGTTTTTAGAGTGCAGGTACTAATTAAATCTAAGAAATTCCACCTTAATGCTGGTCATTTTTTAAGTTGCTGCATGTATTAAATTACTTCCATGTCTTCTGCCGCCTTTAGATTTTCTGCTGTTGGGAGTGCAGAGTAGGTATCTAATTCTTTTCTGCATTTACAGCGCCTGGCCCATAGAAGGCGCCACATTCACTTCTGCTGGTTGAATCAACACTAATATCAACACAGTTGCTTTTTCAGCTTCCTTCAGCAGCCCACCATGTTAACCATCACCACCCATCCTGCTGGTTCACATGCTATTGTACCACTCTGGTGCCCATCATATCCTAGGACTGACTCCTTTCTTCTTTTCATTCCTACTTACTAGCACCATGTCCTCTCCTGTGTGCCCCTCCTCAAAATCAGAACTTAATCCTGTACTTCCTACCCCCACCTCCCTTAAATTACTTTCACGCCTGTTAGGTCACCTCTATAGATGGCTCTTGCCTTGAAACTTCAAGTATTCTTTGTTCTATAGCTGAACACGAACTAAGCCTGTAAGTTCTACCTTAGACACATCTCTCCAATCTCGTTAACAACGCACGTGAGGAACAGTTTTTAAAATGTTAATAGTTAAGACTTACTGAGCTTTGACTATGTGAACAAGTACTATGCCTTTGTTTCATGTACTTTAATTTCCTCCTCACAACACTGTGGAAGGCCTATTTATCCCCATTTTAAAGATTTTAAAAAACCTAATGCAAAGGGAAGTGAATGTGCCCACGGTCACAGCGGTAGTAATCAGGGAATGACATGCAGAGCTAGTGGTGGGACATGGCCGCTCTGTCCAGGGTGGGCAAAAGTAGGCTTACCGTTGTGAATACATGGAAGTTTGTTCTTGTATTATTATTTATTAACTAGAGGCCCGGTGCACAAAATCGTGCATCAGTGGGGTTCCCTCAGCCTGGCCTGTGGGATCAAGCCAAAACCAGCTCTCTGACATCCCTGAGGGGTCCTGGATTGTGAGAGGGTGCAGGCCAGGTCGAGGGACCCCACTGGTGCACAACTGGCCCAGGGAGGGACGCGGGAGGCTGGCCAGCTGGGGAGGGACCGCAGGAGGGCTCCAGGGTGTGTCCAGCCCGTCTCGCTCAGTCCCGATCAGCTGGACCCCAGCAGCCAGCTAACCTACCAGCTGAAACGTCTGCCCCCTGGTGGTCACTGCACATCATAGCGACTGGTTGCCGGACCAGTAGACTGTCTACCCCCTGGTGGTTAGTACACATCATAGCGAGTGGCCTTAGCATATCATTAGCATATTATGCTTTGATTGGTTTAACAGCCGACTGGACACTTAGCATATTAGGCTTTTATTATATAGGACTAGAGGCCCAATGCATGAAAATTCATATAAGAGTAGGCCTTCTTTCCTCTGGCTGACGGCACCAGCTTCCCTCTGGCACCTGGGACCTGGGCAGCTTCCCTCCGGCCACTGGCCGGCACCCAGGCTAGCTTCCCCCGGGCCATGCGCAGGCACCCGGGATCCGGGCTGGCTTTCCTCCGGCTGCCCGCAGGCATCCGGGACCTGAGCTGGCTTTCCTCCAACCCTGGTTTCATCAGGAAGGATGTCCAGAATGATATCTGGAAGACATCCAGTCTAATTAGCATATTACCCTTTTATTATTATAGGTTATTGTATTACTTTCCATACAGACAACTGTAAACCTACTTTTGCCTGACCCTGCATAAATAAAAATGCATACAAAAATATGATGTCATATTTACTGGGTTACTACTACAGTCCCTAGATTTGGTTAGATCATGGGCTTGGGCAAACAATACCCATGGACCAAATCAGGTCAGACACCTGTCTTTGTAAATAAAGTTTTATTAGAGCAGAGCTATGTCCATTCAGTTATGTATTGTCTCATAGGTGGTGCTTTCCTGCTATGACTGTGGTCCACAAAACCTAAAGTATCTACTATCTGGCCCTTTACAGAACGACTGTCCACCCCCGCACGAGCCACGTACACCCAAGTCTACCGGGAATAGTCTATGGAACGAAGCTGCTAATGCAAAAAACCTCAAGGCACAGGAGCAACGTGCACTGTGGCGGCTGCTGGGCCCGGGACCCAGACACATCTGTCACTCCTCTCCCTCTCAGGCACCCGCGCTGCTCACACTTCTCTGAAGACACCGGCACATTCCTGCCTCCTTCCCTTTGCTCACACTGCCTCTCTCGTCTGAAGTTTACATCCTCCAAGTCGGCCTCAGGCAACTCCGTAACAGCCACCCTTTCACCCAACAGTAGTTAATACTTAAAAATAATGAACACTGTGGACGAAAGGGGCCACACGCTGACCTGACAGCTCAGGGGCGGCCTGCAGGGCGGTCTTGCAAACTCAGACCTACAGTCACCACAGGACGGTCTGAAATTAAACTTTAAAAGCAGTGATGGTGGGCAGTTACTCCTAGGCCAGTATCTTCACTGCCAAGGTCAACCTTTACGTTAACTGAGCCTGTCTGTCTTTTTGCATCTGTGATAACACACCCTTGAAATGTCTGGGTAACTTGTAACCTCCCTTTTTCAGGACCCTCGGGGCACAACCTAATGTGCTGGGCGCCAGGACAGAGACCACAGATTCCTTCATTATCATGTTAATTGATCCTGCACCCAACAAAGCATGTGTCCATCATTTTACTTCTTATCCAATCCCAGGGGTTTCCCTGCTTTCCTTTCTCCCGCCCCTCTAGTCCATCACCAGTGGGTTTCACGTAACCCACCTACCTCCCTCCTTCCATTGGAACACCCGCCATTCTCTGGGGCATTCTCTCAGTCCATTGCTTCCCGGCAACTGTCGACAGTTTGGCTCAAATAAACTCACAAAATTTCTTTACAGGTCTGAATGTTTTTTCACGTTAACAACACGATAGCAGTTCAACGACCTAAACTGCTTCCAACAGCAGCCACACCCCAGCCACTCCAGCCTCACTCCTCAACTCGTCTGAGCCGGTGCGGCGCGGAGCGACAGGCCCTGAAACACACGGGCTGGCGCGGAAGGCTCCTAGGAGGGTATATCCTAGCGGCGGGACAGGGAATGCCCACAGCGCGGGGAAACCAGGGCGCCAGACAAGGCCAGAAAGGCCCCGGCGCAGGGCTCAGGCCCGGCGGCCGGAGACGCGCAGCGGACCCGGGTCGGTCACAGGGGCGCGAGGCCCGCCCACCCTGCCCCAGCCCGAGCTCCCACGGACCTCTCACCAGGCCGCCCTCACACCCTCGCGCGGCCGCTCGCTGCCCCAGCCCGAGCTCCCACGGACCTCTCACCAGGCCGCCCTCACACCCTCGCGCGGCCGCTCGCTGCCCCAGCCCGAGCTCCCACCGACCTCTCACCAGGCCGCCCTCACACCCTCGCGCGGCCGCTCGCTGCCCCAGCCCCAGCTCCCACGGACCTCTCACCAGGCCGCCCTCACACTCTCGCGCGGCTGCCCGCTGCTCCAGCTCCGGGGACGCCACAGGCACGCGCAGGGCCCAGGAAGTTCCGGGGGAGGCAGCCAATTAAACTTCCTCTCCCAGGTGCGGTTCCGCCCACCGAGCAGAGCCCCGCCTACAAAGGGAAGGTCTATTCGTGACTCGGCCAGAACACAGAGGCAAGCCCCGCCCATGGAACGTAGCCCCGCCCACAGAACGTAGCCCCCACTCACCGAGGTTGGTAGCACCCCACACAAAGCCCCGCCCACCGCACGTCCTGGACGTGGTCCCGCCCTGGAGCAGGTTCCCGCCCCTGACGTAGTCCCGTCGACAGCGCTCTTGTTTCTGGGCACGGTATCTGAGCGCAGCGACGCCCCGCCCTCCGCTAGAAGTCCCGCCCGTCGTGCGAACTCCCGCTCTCTACAGGAAGTCCGGTCCCCAGCGTCTAAACACCATTGGTCACCGAGCCGAGAGGACATCATCCGAGCGGTCGCCCTGGGCCTCTGCCTTCGGCCCCAGGAGGGGGCGCTCGCACCCTGGCTGGCGGCCACGCGCGAGGAGCCCGAGCCCTTTCCGAAGGTTGTTTCCTTGCTTCACAGCCGCGTGTGGGCCGAGGCGCGCAGGGCCACGGGAAGATGTTGCCAGGGGAGTATCGGCAGCTTCAGCGGCGCAGCGGGCGCACCCCTGCCTTCCGGCGCCCGCGTGCACCCGCGCTCATGGCTCGAGGCTCACCGTCCAGGAAAGTACCCCCGGCTTCCGAGAGCGTCCCTCGCGAGAGCAAGTGGCCGCGTGTTTCGCTGCTTCCCTCGCGGACGCCCAGGTGCCGGCGTTTCCACCCGCTCTCCTTGCAAACGGCGAGGCCTGGCCGCGCGGGAGTGACGGCGGCCGCCCCACGTGGGTCGCGGGCTTCAGCTGTTCACGCTGGGCAGCCTCAGGAATGGGAGGCAAAGAAATCGAAACCCCACATGGCGCCAGCTCCATAAGTCAACACTCCGCACAGATAACCGCGAGAAGACATTCCTGTGGTCAGTAAGCCGCGCTGCGCCGGTCCCGGTGCGATGGGGGCGGGCGTGGCGCTGCTCCATTCGATGCCCACGCCTGTGTGCCTGCCTGCCATGTCCCTGCACCCCGCCGGGCGCCTTATGTCCCCCCTGTCCCCCCCGGGCCCCGCCGCTCCGGTGCCGGGAGCTGTGGTTTAACATTTGCTCGGCGACGAGAAATCCCCTGAGGGTCAAAAGCAGGGCTTGTGGCCGGGCACTGTCCTCTGATGAGCCGATACCTAGAGGAGCACTTCTTGTCTCTGCTCCACAAATCTGCTTTCCACTGAAGGAAGCAGGCTTTATCCAGAGTAATCTGGCCAGATGCCTGGAAGTCCCAAGCCTGAACGTAGCAAATAGCCGAAGGTTGAGAAGGTGCAGCGCTATCACAGAGGCCATAAAAGCACCGAAGGTACATGAAGTCCTTCCGCGGTTTTTATGGTTCTTGGTTAAAATGCAAGTAATAGTGTAAAACGACAGGACTTGCGACAGCAGGTGCGTGTTTAAAACCCAGAAGACTGCAAAGGAGGACGTGTGTTACTAAACTAGAACGTGACACTGCATTCCAGCGGTGTTTGAAGAAAAAATGAAAGGATGCTGTGCTTTGTAAGGATCAAGTTCAGTTGATGAGCAAACACTCAGGCTGCCTAAAGCTCAACAGTGATTCCGTTTTTCAGTTGAAATTGTTGTCTTCACAGACGCAGTCAACAGTTTTTTGCTTAGAACAACTCCATTGTGCTGGAATTTGGCCAAGAATTGCATGGCTGTCTATACTATGATAAATACAACCAAAAACAAACGTTGGGCTCCTTAAAAACTCATTTTTTTCCCCTTTCCTATTAGAACGTCATGCAGAGTCATTGTAGACATTTGGGAAACTGAGAAAAGCATAAAGAAGTGCACACCAGTGATGACTGGGTTCTGATCTAGCTCCCCATCATCTTTGTCTCACCTGGATATTGTCACAGCTTCCCGACTGCTCCCCCTGCCTTAATCTCTACCCAGCCCAGCAGCCAGAGGAATCCCGCCGAAATGGTGATCACATAATGCCGTCCTCCGAACTTCCATGTTCCCACTTCACCCCGAATAAAAGCCAGAGCACTTACAAGGGCCTGTGCCCCGCTCGGACCCCCCTGACCAACACTGCTTTCTCACTGTCCTGTAATCATGGCCCCTAATTGTCTGCAAGGCTCCTCCCTCACCTCTCCGGTCTTATTCAAAATGGTGTCTTTTCAGAGAGGCCCTCATGCCCACTTCTGTACAGTCAGGGGCCCTCTTCTCTGCTGTGCCATCATCCCATATACTAGAGTTTATCTTGTTTATTATTTGTCTTCTCTATAAAGGCAGAGCTTTCTATCTGGTTTTGTTTGCAGATGTCTTTGTTTTCTAAAGCATAACAAA